TTTTCATGAAACATGTCATAAATAAAATAATGGGGAGCACGTGATAAATTCTTACATGCTTTTGGATCGCTATTCAAGGTGGTTTCACCTTGTGTATTCGAACTCCAGCAGCAGTTAAAGTTTGCTTTAAGATACACATTAGATCCAAACAATTAATTAAGCAAAGTATAGTGTTGTCAAACATATACAGTACAGTGTTGTCAAACATATACAGTACAGTGTTGTCAAACATATGTCCCACCAAACCCATTTGTCCAACCCGTGAGCTGTTACAGAGAGCGCCATCAGCCAGGATTCAATTCATGCCTTGTCTGAGCCTGAATAATGCACACATATACAGTAGCACATCCCATTAGTGACATTACTGTATCAGTCTCACAAACGCATACTCCCCCTGTGGTGCCATATCTCAGTCCAATCACAGCACTCATCTTTAATGATGTCACAGATCATTGACAAAGGTGTGTCTTTGCACAAAAAGCGCAAGACTTATACACTCTGAACAAGTTCAATGAATGATAAAAAAACTAAAATGTCTTTACAATCTCAAAAGGAAATTTCTGAACATAGCAGAAAGGGATGTGTTATGATGTTATTAAATAAAAAAAAAGATTCTTGTGTATTTCAAGTGAAATCAGTTTCTCCACATTCCATTGTAAAAGTGAATGGAAAGGTGGCATGCTTGATTTGTATGCAGCAGGTAGTTACTTTTCAAAGAGCAATAGTTGTAGAAGGGATTTTTGTGATGCTTTCAATATATTTTTATTTTTTAAAATGTATTTTATATATTTGATATCTAGAAAATAGTGTTTTTAAAATTTAATTTTTTATGTTTATTTTTTTGTCACTTTAATGTCTTCTGCTGAGTTGGCTGTCATGTTAAAAACACTAAATCTCTGCTAAATACAAAAGAAGGCAAGCTTCTCACTTATAATCACAATATTATATATAGTGTAATAACAGAATTTACAGCTGATGTTGATCACTAATCCCAAAACCTGGAAAACTCACATTTCAATCTTGCAGTTTATCAGTTGCTATACATATACCTGTCTTTTGGACCATAAAGATAATTTGTTTCCTAAAAAACACAGGAAAGCTCAAGGAAAAATTCCAGTTAAGTTACAATTAAAACTTACTACTCATTTCCAAGATTTAGAAAATCTCAATATTTACTTTTTGTTACCTTAAGAGTACTGAATTATCAAAATTAGAACACCATTCCATGTTTATGATTACATTATACATACATTAGTGTTAAAAAATTGCTTATATACAGTTGCACATTGCCCGGCAATATTCTATTCAACAGAACAGAGGTTTTCATCGCATACAATAATCACAACTATGATATTTACATCATTTTATTTAGTAATGCTAAAGAACATACCATAATCAGAAGGTAATGAGTAAGTGCTAATAAATTGGCATCTACTGAATGATTGCTAACTGCAATTTAAAGGGAGATATTTAGTAGTTATGTAAACACCACAACACAAAACACTACAAATACTTTTATGTAATGTTTCTCCTAGTATTTCAGTAATATATGATCTGTGTGGCCAACTTAAAATACCTTTAAATCAAATCTGGCCTACCATACCAAAAGCGTTTGATGACTCTGCTCTAGTAAATCCACAGAATCAACAGCTATTAAAGCATATAACAAGTTGTTTTGCACGTGTAAATCTGTAAAAGGTACAAGTGCAATGACTGTTTTCCAGATTCAATAATTAAGCCCCAAGGCTGTATTACCAAGAAGGGTCCCACAGTGTTCAATACATTAGCTTTCAAACAAAGTGGCTAGATTCAATCTAATTAAAACCTTCTTTAAAAACTGTGAAGCAATACATGTTTTTTAAGTTTTATTGGGAAGGCCAAATTTATTCAGTCTGGAACAACCCAGCATTAGTTTTATAGCATTATAACAGTCTAATTGGAGGCAAAATTGAACAGAAACTTCTAAAGGTTCAGCCAACATAAATTTGAATACAGAACAATTGAGAAATGTTTTACAGTCTTTGTTTTAAAGTTTTAATTTATGAATTTCAACCCTATAATGCAACTGTGTCTTCTGTCTTTCCTGTGTTTTATTTTTATAGTATGTTGGGTGTATTCTCACTGCAACTCTTCCCTGAAGTCATCTAAAAATAATACAGGTAGTCTCTGCTTTGAAATACTAGGAACTTCTTCCTGTTTTTATGTAAACGAATGAAGGAATAGCCCTGAGACATGTTGATATTAAGTTGCAAGGAATGTTCATATACCAGAACTTGCTTTGATATAATTTAGTCTAACCATCTAATGTCTAACCATCTTTTGCCTTCTGTATAAAGGTTAAAACAAAAAAATGAGTGTCTATTTAACTTTCATACATACCCTTCATTGGTTCCTTGGTGACCCCATCATCAGAGTGATAGATAAAATAACAAGTTAAAGCCTTTTAAAGAAAAAAGATATCCCCAGAGATGCAATCTATCAAAATATATATAAAAAGTACAGTATATCTAGGGGCCTTCTCAAATAGAGTAGAGGTGTTAAACCAGGTATCCTTGTCAGATTTCCCCCTGGACTTTACCAATCATCACCTGCTAACAATCCCCATCTATGAATTGGCTTCATCACTCTGTTCTGATAGCTGATGTGTGATGAGCCTCCTGGCAAAGCTTTGGCTACAGTTACATCAGTGGTGGTGGAGAAGCGTCCCCACTACCTGTTAAGCGTTTTGGAATGGGTGTGTATGTATATCAATTAGTAAACTGCAGGACTGAAATGAGAATATTGCAGACTCTGGTATAAGTGATCAGCATCACTAGTGAACGTTGCTTGAAGTACTGACAAACGTAGCGCCTGTGATAATAAGTGAGAGAAGCTTGTAGTGTTTCATAATTAGCAAAGTTGTAACAATCTTAACTGGGAAACAAACTGGGAAAAAGCAAAACTTAAAATGGACAATGCATGGCAAAATAATAAACATTAAAACATGGAACACTATTTGCTACATATCAGTGATAAAAAATAATTCTACAGCTACTGTTATAGCTCTTTGGCAACACTTACCTGCAATATAAATCAAGCATGTCAGCTTGTCAAGAAATGTAATTCATAATTACATACTTAGCTAACACAATTACAAGGTCCTTATTGCTATGTTTGAAAGTGTACTTTTGAACTCATAAAAAACACAAGGTACAGTTTAAGTGAAACCAGTGGTGGTTTCATCAATAAGGTTGCTCCAAAATTTGGAGGAGGAGTTTAGGGAACATGTGTACACGTCTTGCATGTGTCATGAAAAGACACTCCTATGTCAAACTAGATCTATGATGTCATCACACAAGGGGCACTGCGATTGGACACAGGTAGTGAACCACAGGAAGCACTGTGTACGTGAGACAGATACAGTATCATCACCTAGTGTTCCTTCTTCATTGGTGGGCTACTGTATTGATGCTCAGACAACGCGTGAACTGAATCCATGCCATTTGCAACTGCCTTGTAGGCCAAACAAATGGGTTTGGCTGGCTGGACCAAGCCTGAGGACCATATGTTTGACACCCCCTGGTGTAAAAAATGTAGATGATCTACATACTGTTCCTCTTTAATTCCAGTCAGATTCTGCTTCTAAAACTGCATTCTGCACCTAAGACAATCTGACATTGAAAGACACTTTTTTCTTTTGAAAGAGCGAGCATATTTTATTTCTGTGAAAGACTGATGTCTAGTCTCCATTTATAAATTAAAAAATAAACATATGCATTTAAAAATGCATAAACAGGTGCCCCTCAAATTAAAATGCCAATATTTCACCAAAGCAAGGACATATCTTTCAAATAATATATTTTCTGAAAGCAAAATTCACCCTAAAAACACAGAAGTACAACAGATGCTGAGAACAAAAAACTGACAGTAACCATCAGGACCATATCTTTGCAGCAACTAACTGTTCAACACTGGTGATTTCCCAGCTGTGTAACTCTAATCCCTGACAAACTCGATGAATCTGGGTATTTACAACCCAGCCTGGCATCTTTTCCAAGGCAAGCACTACTATCTAATCTGCATTTTATTACTGTTAGGACACTGGAAAAGAATACAGTGAAAACAAAAAGAAAATATATGTTCACATTCATGTGCAATCACTTTAAAAACATAATGTGTGTAAACGGGTACTGAAAAGTCAGCTTTGTGTTACAGTATGTAGACTATTTTACAACCTTGGCAAAGCATCTCTAATTTCCTGGGTAAAAGCTCTAAACTTCCCCAATCAGCTAGCTCATAAACGACAGACAATACACATTAAATAAATATCATTGATGGATTATGTGATTTCAGTTATTAGATTTTCCAAACTATACTACTAACAATGTCACTGCCGAAGTTCAGTTTACAGTCGAAGCTGCAGCATAATGATTTCATTCAGTACAGTATACTGTGTGAAACACTGGGGTGGGATGCCATCAAAGACGTCACAGTTGCAGTAGCAACAATGTAACAATCTCAGAGCTTCATGATTTAAACAGCAATTACACTACACTTAGCGTACGTGTAAATCACACGATCTGCGTTTTGTAACTACACAGTAATCTACGATCTGTCTACCCCTCCACACAACAACAGCATGGCTACAGGTCATGTCATCATTTGTTGTTGTTTTTTTTTTCTCTGCACTTCTTCGTAAAAGAAATGGCTCGAACTTATATGTAAAATGATCAAAAACAATACACACTGAATACCGCACCTATTAAAAAATATGATAAATTAAGTAACACGGTCACTGAATAGCAATTTATTTTCATATGCCAGGATATTCTGTACAGCTCCGTGAATCAAAAAACAAACCATTCCTTTTTATTGTTTTGATCATAACCGGATATAACATTTTAAGTGCTCTATCGTTCGTGTTACCATCTGCTCGATGGTCCCACTTTCCCACACTCGTTCGAATGAACAAAAAAAACAACACGCTGTAAAAAGTATAATTAGGCAGAGTATTTTCGTACCGTCCTCTAGTTCTGTTGCCTGGAATTCGTCGTCTTCTTTCAGATAAATTTGCAATCCACTTTATCAGAGCTGAATCCGTGAACTCTTTTATTATGATATTCGTCTTATTGGTGGGGGGAAAGAGGTTCACAATGCTTTTCTTTAAAGACCTCCTCTTGTGCCTCTAGTCTCCAGGAAGTGATATGATGTCAGCAGCTACAGAACATCTCGCCACCTCGTCCAGCCTTCCCCGTCCAGGAAGTCATGGACGGATACATTGTGAGAATCTGCTACCAAGGGGCCTGTCCTGTGAGAATGCAATCACAGCAAATAATTTTCTCCAAAACGTTCTGGAGTATGTGTCGACCAAATCTTTCATGTCGTAAATCACAGAATAACTTCAATTTTTTTTCAAATCATGTAACCTGCCTAATATATTTTCGTCTCATCTTTAGGTTTAAAAGTATCTGAAGTTATTGATTATTTATACTGTATCTTGTGTAATGCAAATGGAGATTTGAAAAGGAATTAGAAACCCAGATCATCATACATTGTAAGCAAAAATGAAAGATATTAATCATGGTGTACATACTGTATACAAATCAGTCTATCTAACCATGGGAAGACATACAAAAATTATCCTGCTAGTACGTTCAAAGCTTAATGCCCTGTGGGTAATAATTTAACAATTACATATCTCTTTAACATCCTACATATCTCTTGGCTTATGTTTTTAGTGAGGTCAATGATTTTACAGGCAAAAACATCTCTCAGGGTCTGAATGTAAAAACATAAAAATCGCAAACGAGAGCAGACTATTTGGCCTAAATAGTTACTTTGGTACCTGTAGTTAGCAGATTATTGAACCAAGGATCTCTTGCAGCTGTTTCTTACAAGAAGCCAGGGTATCAGCATCAACATATGGTTAGGAAGCTCGTTCCATACCCCCACAAATCTTTGAGCCAAGAAGTGCCTAATGTTATAAGTTTGAAAAGTAGTTTCCACTTGTGTCCTCTGGATCATGTTTCACTGTTTATTCTGAAGAAGTCCATTGAGCTGACTTTATCAGTGACTTTGAGGATTTTCAACACTTGGATCAATTCCCTTTGTAGTCTTCTCTGGCCAAGACAAAAAAGTTATGTTACTTCAGCCGGTCGGTGTAGTACATTATCTTAAACCACGGAATCTCTCCTGTTGCCTTATTCTGGATTCCAGAGCAGCAATATCTTTTTAAAAACTTGGAGACAAGACAGTATTAGGTTTATTAAGCAAATAAAATTTATTACGAAACTCTGCAAAGGTATTTGTGTTCTGATAATGTAAATAAACGATTTCAAGTCACTACCAAAGAAAACCTCAGTTAGTCACCAGGAAACGTGCTTATAACAGAAGTGTGTGAAAGTCTGTCTTCATATACTGAGCACAAATAGAGAAATGTTCACACAACTGTATCCTAGTAATCTGGATTTACAAAAATAATCTGTTTTTTCATTTACAAAATCCCACCTATCACACCTAAACCTGCATTCTTCCAAAATTGTATTTAATAAGTTTTATTTTAATCTGAATATTACACACAGAGATACAACAGAACTTAAAATGTCATCTCTCAGTAAATGTACATAAGTGTTCTTTTACAGTATGGCTTTGCATTTATGATACTTGAAATCTAAAGTAGTTTAAGATTTGTTTACTGTGTGCATGCAGTATGTAAGAACATATTCTGAGTGTAACTAATAACACAGATCCCAGCAGACCAATTCTTAAAAGGACACACTTCTGTGGGTTGTATATTTTATAGTATCGTTTTACTGACTTATAAAGAATTCCAACATCCAACATCCATCAAGCCCAAAATCTATTTTCAGGCAGCATCTTTACTGTTTACTCTTATAGCTAGATGCACCAAAATTAGAGGGAAAATTAAATATGAAATAAAATTAAATATGAAATTTGAAAAATGAAAATGTTCCTCCATTTAGAAATATAAAAGTTGGAGAATTATTTGAAATGGTCTTGATATATTATAAGATAATCACTGAACAGTGTTTAAATGCACAACAAAACAACAGTCTACTAAATAACCCATCTTCATAACTTTGGTTATTTTAAAGTAATGAAGGAATAAACGGACAATCAAAGAGTCAAAGTTGATGCCAGTGTCTTCAACCAATGCACTTTGACTGTTTTCAGATTGATGTGACATTCAAAAGCACAGTCAACATTCAACACTCTCTCACAATGCATGTAGCAGAGTCATAGCTATGTCCAACCAACTGTTGTTCAATTTTCATCAGATGTGTTACCTTTGTCCCTGAGGGGTAAGAGATTTATGTTGCTTCAACTTCAGTGAAGGCAGCTCCTAATCAAAGTGGAAAAGCTTTCCCCCAGATTCGCCTGATTGATCCTCTGCGATTCCTTTTCTCTTTCTCTTGTTGGGTACATTGTGATCTTTCATTTTGTAACACTGGGGGTTTCTACATCTTTCAAGAGTGTTCCATTTGTCACTTGTCATCTATAGCCAGGGAAAGCAATCTAATTCAGGAGCCACATCAACCAATGGACTAGAACATTTGTCTATTCACATATTTATTTATTGTCTATGAGCAAAAAAAAAACCCACAAAAATACGTGCTTTCAAGCGTTGTTATACTTAGCTGCTTCTATGTTAAGGAATATAAGAATTGTAATTATAGGAAACATCATAAAATGTAATGTCAAACATTGAGATGATGTATTAGGAAAATTTTAATATGGACACATTCAAAAGTAACAGCAGATAAGTCTCATAATGTATAGCCTTTTAAATCGTAACTCTTAACAGGTGAAACTGCTGACACCATCTAAAATAACGTGATATTTTTGTGATAATGTACAGTAGGCTGGGTACGTTCCAGAGATCATCAGGTGCATGCAGAATGAAGAGTGGATTAAAAAAATGGAACTTCCAACGCTAGAAGAAATATCCCCTTGAATTACATTACATCTAGTCCATAATTTTTTTAAAAATTTGTAGTCAAATACTGTATGCAGACATCCTTTCATTTTTGTCTTGTGAGGGTTACAGGGTCAAATGATAATTTTACAGAATACAGATTACAACAATATACAGTACCACAGGCAAGTGAATGAATAATGAATAATATTATAATGAATAATAACTACTCTTATATAGCTACACTTATATAGCGCTTTTCTGGACACTCCACTCAAAGCACTTTACAGCTAATGGGGACTCCCCTCCACCACCACCAATGTACAGCACCTAATAATAATAATAATAATAATAATAATAATAATGGCTGCAATAGCAACCATAATCTACATAGAGTCCCAGGGCTTTTCTCAGAAAGAGTAGGGCTTTTACCCCAGCGTCCTGGCCAAATTTCCCATAGTCCATTACCAATCATGACCCCCTAATAATCCCCATCTATGAACTGGTTTCATCACTCTGTTCTCCTCCCCACAGATAGCTGGTGTGTGGTGAGCAGACTGGCGCACTATGGCTGCCATCGCAGAAAAGTGCTATATAACTGTAAGGAATTATTATTATTATTATTATTATTATTATTATTATTATTATTATTATTATAGATCACAAGAGCAGTTTTACCATGAAATGGATCCTAAAACAATCACATAAAGCCACAGAATTTAACGTGTTTGAAAGGGTGCAGGGCATCAGATCAGTATTTCACTACTTACACTACTTATCCACTACCTATTCTGAGCAGAGGCTATCACATGATCCTGAAAAATGTTCTGCTGGTAACAGTAATATTTCTCCACACTGATCATGTGAAACAATTCCAGGCTGCTGATTACATCCTCATACATGATGACACATCCCATTATGTCCACCTCAGACCTCTATGAGACATCTAGGATGAATCTTACCTCATCTGAAAACTTTCCATGTGACCAGTGGGAAAGGATTCATTGTTGATCTTATCAACAACAGTCTAAACTTATTTGTTGGGTTCCATTAACCATGGACCATGAGTGGCACAGTGTAAGTTTGACAAGCTCTCAGATTTGTTGAGCTTGGGCAATTTTCGCGTGGTTTGGGTTGCTTCAGTTTTTGTGACACACTGAGATCTGTTAGATGAGGTTTAATTATTAATATATTAACGTCAGCATATTTATAATAATCATAATAATAATGTTGATAACATTGTTTTACAGACTCCACACTGGGATAATGATATCTGAGATATTATTTAAAACCCAAGGAGCAATAAAATAACTATGAATGCAAACAAATAAAAAATACATATATGTTTGTAGCTTTTCATTTGCGCAGTAATGAACTTACCGGTACAAATTTTTGTAATATAAATCCAATTATAATGCATATATCAAAACGTGGTATACAGCATCTATATAGAACAGTTCAAAAACTTTCCATGATCTTTTATATAGATACCATTTATATAGATACCATACCATAGCTTTTATATATATTATCTTGAATTGAATTGAAGTATATAACTATTTTTTCTTTTTAAGTTTTTAATTGTAAATGAGATAGTTTTACATCTCTTATGTTGGATACCCTCCTTTCCAGTAGAGGGCGAAAGTTATTTATATTCACTCAGTTTTGCATCCGAGATATTGGCGTTTAACCTTTCACTCTAAAGTGCGGCTGTTTTTCTCCTTTTTTTCCAATCCAGCTGGCTGTAGCCAAGAGCTAGACGGAAGTGAACGTTTTTAAATGGGAGGCGGTAAATATTTATGGCAGAGCGGGTAGAAAACGGTTAATGGAGTGCTTGGTAACTGAATTTTACTGATAGTGGGGCAATTTAAAACGGAGGCGTGTCGAGAAGTTAAAGAGACGGGTGTGGATATACTGACTGCAAGTTAAGAAACATGGGAACTAAGTCGGATCAGCTCCTGATCGTTGTCTCCATTCTAGAAGGTAATGTGAAAAAAAGTAAACATATGTGGTAGTTTTGAGTTTTATTCGACTAAGCTTTTTTCTGAATTGTTAAAGTAATTTATTTCTGTATGCGAAAACGATTTACAGGGGGAAATCACTTGCATGTAGCTATTGTAACTTTCCCAACCGACTATTTTTGCCAGTATTTTTAACTGTTGAGAAGTGTGATGGATGTCAGCACTGAAATTTAAATTATAATACGGAAGCAAGCCTCTCTTTGTCACGCAGGTGACGGCTACAGATCTCTAAACTGAGGTTTTTCGAAATTTTCATAATAACGGTGTCAAATAAATGCAGTGTATGCTTTCGTCTGCGTTCACTAAGTAATACAAATAATAAGGACGATGTTGAAATATAAAGGATGTCCTTGTTATCCCCGAGACGTTGTAAATATTACAAAATGCATTTTTGAAATAACTTGTGTTCAAAATGCAGTCACCAAATTGCACACTATTATATGTGAATATAATAAATCCTGCAAACAACGCATACACAGTTACATTTACTGATAGCATAAGTATTCAGACTCCAAGTTAGTTCTTGGAGAAGTAGTACTTGTGGCAGTAATTTTAGCTGTCATTATTGTTAGACTGGTCTCTATCAGGTTTGCACAGTGGGATGGTGTTCCTGGTGGAACTGCTCCAGTGCTGTCAAGTTAATTTGGGATAGCTGATGTGTTGTAAGTCAGGCCTTGCCATAAATTCCCTGTTTGATTGTCAAAGACAAGATTTTAACTAGACTCCTCATGGACATTCTCACTTTTTGTCAGACCTTTTCAGTGGGGAATTTACCTTATGCTTCAGGTCTTTGTCCTGCTGCAATTTGAATTTTTGACCCAGTTTCAGATTCTCAAATCTCATCTGATCTTTTAAAGTTTCTTTCTTGTTGCTCACCCATACAAGATATCTTTGTGCGGGGACTAGGATATTGTTTATGTATAAATAATATTTCGCATCTTAGATATAGAACCTGGCAAATCTTACAAAGTCACTATTGGCTTTTACAGTGGCCACTCTATCCAAGCTCCCATTTACCTGGTTACTTGGTTTCGAAGGGTGGCCTGATCAATGCACTGTGCCTGCAACTCAACAACAGGCAACCCACTGAAGCTAAGCAGGTGTGAGCCTGTCAGTACCTGGATGGGAGACATCCTGGGAAAAACTAAGGTTGCTGCTGGAAGAGGTGTTAGTGGGGCCAGCAGGGGGTGCTCACCCTGCGGTCCATGTGGGTCCTAATGTCCCAGTATAGTGATGGGGACACTATACTGTATACAGGCGCCGTCCTTCGGATGAGACGTAAAACCGAGATCCTGACTCTCTGTGGTCATTAAAAATCCCGGGGCGTTTCTCGAAAAGAGTAGGGGAGTAACCCCGGCATTCTGGCCAAATTTCCCATTGGCTCTTACCAATCATGGCCTCCTAATAATCCCCATCTATGAATTAGCTTCATTACTCTACTCTCCTCCCCACTGATAGCTGATGTGTGGTGAGCGTTCTGGCGCACTATGGCTGCCATCGCATCATCTAGGTGGATGCTGCACATTGGTGGTGGTGGAAGGGAGTCCCCATTACCTGTAAAGCGCTTTGAGTGGAGTGTCCAGAAAAGCGCTATATAAGGGTAAGCAATTATTATTATTATAATTCATATTCCACTCCTTAACGATGTAAGTCATGTGACGTCACTCTACTGTATGTCTTGCAGTGGACAGAGGTTTACTGGACTGTCTGGAAATAAAAAAAATATTATCTTCATGAGTATAATTTTAAAATGTGCAAAATAAGCCGGGACAAACCCTTCAATAAAATTAGATTCTCAAAAGGTTACCCTTTTCTTAAACCACCAAACCCACTTTTATAGAGAAACCACCTGTTAGAATGCAGCCTTTCCCTAGTTACAGCGATGTAGTTATCATCCTAAGTGAACAGGTTAGAAAAATGTGAAATATCCCCTCACACTGTCTGCAAAGGGTTAAGTGGCCTTCTCCTGATCTATGCCTCTATATCATCTTATTTCTCTTTTATTTCAAAAGTTCTTTGGTCTTCACGGGTAAGTTCTCACATCACTGTGTGAGTTGTGGCTGGAAATTCATTATCTGTCCAAGGGAACTTACACAGACAGATGCATTTAATATTAAACCGTATTGGTTACACACAGAGACTTCTACACAATGTTTGTGATCTTTCAAACTATTATTTTTTTATTTGAACTTAGGGTTTCTGTATCAAATGACTTGAATAGATACGCAACTGCGAATTTTCTAATTTTCTTCGCAAATCCCATTTACATGTCAGATTTTTAACTTGATCACTTTGGAGCAGATTGTGTATTCTAAGTAAAGGTCCATTTAAAAAAGTGTCATGATTGCAATCTCAGACAGCAATACGATATGGACACTGCAGGGGATGAATGATTTTGCAAGGTACTGTATAGCCACAGACATTTGAAAAGCAGGAGTCTGTTTGTAACTTGGTACACGTACTGTATGCTTGAGGTGAGAATTGGAGCTCTTGTTGGATGAAATAGAAATTTGTGTAATTTTCACTTCAAGTTCCTTTGACCAATTATCCATTTTATTTTTTTTCCCTATTATAATTGCAGCTTAACTATTTCACCCACTGTGTAAAGTTGTAGTAACGTATTTGGCAATAGAAGCAATTTAAAATAACACCTTCACTGTGATCATCATCATCAGTCCTTTTTAGTCTGGGGCTGGATAAACGTCTCCCCAGAGTCCCTCCTTACCTCTGTTTTCTTTGTGTCCTTTGTCAAATCAGTTATTTGTGTACAAATTGTTCCCACAAACATCTTAATTTCATCTTGCCATCTGGACACCTCCAAGTTGCTATTTTCCTGACCTCTTGGGATCCATTTAAGAATGTATTTGATTTTATCCGTGTCCATTCCTGTTTTTTTTTTCTTTTTCATTTTTGTTTCTTTACATTTCCAATAATTAGATGATTTCTAATATCGAGATGATCCACCTGTTCTTTTTAATACTTCTTCCAATTTAGGGTCATGGTTATTCAAAGCAGGAATGCTAACTACTGTGCCACCGCTCTCTCAGACCCATTACATATAAAATCTTCCAGGAGTAATTTTGAATTTTAATGTATTTTTCTGGCCTTTTGTGGAATGTAAGATCTGGTAAACTTTTAATGCAAAATGGGCTAAAGAGTTTCCTGCCTGGAGTTCTTGGTTTCTTTAATAGTATCTCCTTTGCAGGTCGACACTTTCCCAAGCGTTCACGCCACCTTCTTGTTGTGGAGGCCAAGTTTGATGGAGAACAGTTAGCTACTGACCCCGTGGACCATAAGGACCAGCCACAGTTCTCCACAGAGCTTGCCTGGGAACTTGATAGAAAGGCACTCCACCAGCACAGGTGTGATCAGAAACCACCAGAACATATTAGTTCTTATGTCCCTATTATATCTGTGGAATGAAGTGTTAATAAAATGATGCACCGTTGTTTCTGCCAAAAAGGATTGAGCAAATGTATTTAAAAAAAATGCTGTTCCCAGTTGAGTTCTCATCTATACAATACGGCCCTTTATTGACTTAATAATAGGATTTCTATAGACTGTTGAACATACTGGAGATTGCATTTGAACTATTGCATTTCATAAGTCAAATAAAATACCAAACTTTTGAGAAGTTTGTTTTGCTTGCAGTGTACCTATCAGCTAAAATAATTAGATTATTTGATTGATATCGATCAGAACAAAGTATCTTGAACAGAACTCTTTGTATCTTACAGTTTCATAATAAAAGTGGCCTTTTGTAGTTCCTGTTTAGGTATTATGAAAAAAAATGTTGCATCCTTTTTGTTGGAATTCACACCTTTTTTTTTTCCTCTTATGATTCACATTTTTGGAATGCACCCTTTTTAATTTCCTTAGTTGGATACTACAGCCATTTTACTAGGTTGCGAGGAATAGAAACAATATGTGTACATCTTGCACTTTCAGCATCATCTGTTTCTTTTCACATTCCAAGCCCGCCGGGCTACAATGTCAAACAGAAGACCAATCCTGCTTTCAGTAATAACACAGGACTGCAGGTTCATGGCAAGTATAAGGGATACTGCTGCATGACTGGTATAGAAGAATAAATAAAATGAATGTAGTTCTTTTTATTCCCGTTCAGATTACAGCGTACACCTATTAAACTGCAATGTTTTGCTGTTGATTCATTAACATCTGCAAAGGAGTCTGTTGGGTACATCATCCTAGACCTGAGATCTGTGCAAGAAATGAAGCAGGCAAGTCTTTACTAGGAATTTTATCCCAGTGATTTTTAAACACCTAATTTTTTTGTAAATGTTGTAACTGTTTAGACATTCAGAGTGATTCATTTTTTATGGTTTTGAGACTCATCCTAATCCTAAATGTATCATTTTTAACCTAGTTTTTAAAGTGATGTTTTTAATATCAGCAGAAGAAATGGAGAGTATTTTGTATTTTTACTAATGTAAAAGTTTATTACTTACAGTCTTAGCAGTTTTAAAACCGAGAGTTTTTCTTAGAGCGGTATTTTCCAATTAAAATGGGTTAGCTTTTAGTTTTTTTGAGTTGTCCTGGATGAAGAATTTTTTGGCAGAAATGATGTGAAGGAAATAGATAAAAATTGGATTCATTTAGAACATTGGAGCAGTGAATCTGAATTTGACTTCAGCTTTAAACTAATATCTTTTTTTTTTATCAGGCACCTAAATGGTATCCATTGCTGAGCAGCAAATATACCAAACAGAAGCCAGCAATTCTTGTCAGCTTGGTCCTTGAAACTGATTCCAAACACTCAGATGGATTTAAAGCAAAAGAAGCACCACCAAGGCAAGGTAAAATTTTAGTTGGTGAAATGCTTGAAACATTTCTGTATTGCTTTTGAATGATGTAAAGCTGAAACATGAATGTACAACACACTGCTGGGTACACAATTCTGTGGTAAACCTAAGGTAATTATAGATGACATTTTTTCTAGCACGGATACTTAAATTCTTACATGCTTTATTGGGTGGGCTTACATGCTACAGGATTGCACTTTTCTTATTTTATCCTCTTTTTTCCCTTTTCATCCTTCCTTCTTGTGTCTTTCTTTATATCAAAAAGCTAAACACAAATATTTAACCAAGCCTATAGTAAAACAACCTCAGTGGCTTTCAGACTCAGGTGAGTTTGATGAGTCTCTTCCTTGCCTAGTGTTGCCTAAGGTTGTGTCTAGATACATGTTGAAACATGTATGGCTGGGGGAGAAATGCTTTGTGGGGAAAAAGTACACTTTAGAATCACATGCTTAAGGGCAACTCTCAATGGGATCATCAGAAAATAAAAAGGCTTTTTAATTTTTGCTTGAGTATTATTCAGAATTACTGCACTTTATCTTCCTGCAGTGTTATTTCTTTACACCTTACCCCTTCATAAAGCATCAAGCCCCTGTACATTCAATTAGTTTTAGTTTTTTTTAGTTTATATTAGTATAAACCACCAGAACTCGAATAAGCCAATTCATGCAAATTGTAATTATTTCCCCAGCCGTATAATGCTGAGAAACCAGCGCAATTCCAAAAAGAATGAGTAAATGAAGAATATAAATGTCTAATATTCCTGATAACATGTGTGTCATCTGATTTTTTTTTTATTTATCTTAAATTGTAGCAGACATTACATTATTTAACACCTAACACAATTCACAACACAGATAGAAAGAATGTTCAGTTCATTGTCAAAACATTAAACATCTTGTTTACATGAGGTGTGGTACATGGTTCAACGAAGTTCATCTGAGTATAGACAAAGCACAGCTGTATTGCTATATAATCAAGTTCTCTGCTTTCATCAATGACCAATCATAAAACAATATGGACTTATCCTGTAACAGACCGTCTTGGCTTATTGTGTAATCATATATATTTCTTTATAGCTACTCCACCATTGTCAAATCTGGATCCTAGTAAACTGATTGCAATGCTGAATGAAGAGGAAGGTTATCACCAAATTGGACCTCGAGATTACTGCTCTGATTTTTTTGTTTTGTCTGTCACTGTGGCTTTTGCTACTCAGCTGGAGCAGGTAAAATATTGTATTCCCTTGGACATTAAATATATCATTAATCATTTGAAATAAGAAATATGATATCCTCTTGTAATCTAAATGTAGCGTACGGTTGGAATTGACCGAGCAAATATAATACACAGCACCTAATCTTCAGACACCTGTGACCATATGGACTTTGTTGTTTAGAAGCATTTGTCAGTTTTTAAGCCTTTGTCATCTTGACTTTCATCTTCTCATGCATGAGCTGTTGATTTGACAAAAGTCTGTTTATAACTGCTTTCTTGTATTTTAGTTTGAAAAGTGTCAAATCAAATGAAGCCGGGTGGCACATGATAGGAAACATTTTATTTTCAAAGAGATGGTGATTTTTTATTTTCAATAAAATCAGTTCCATTTTGAGCTGGTATTCAAACTTTTTTGATCTTGCTCTCTGTCTGTGCTGATTTCATATTTAGAAACTGCATGTTTAAGTGGAAGACACTTTATTCTTCTACTGCTATGGTTTCTGCATTTTCCATGTATCTTATATTTATATATAGTATTATATTATCTTTGAAGGAACAAGTAATAGGTTTATTCCATGCTGAAAAGAGAAGAAAGAAAACACAGTGTTTCGGCCGTGGAGCCTTCTTAAGGTGTGTGAAGAACTGTGAGTGACGCACCTGAAGATGGCTCCACGGCCGAAATGTTGTTTTCTTTCTTCTCTTTTCGGCATGGAATAAGCCTATTACTTGTTCCTTTGCAGCCTACGCATGCTGACGCAACTACCCACCTGAACTGTCTTGAACAATCTCACAAACCTTAGGCTATTTTAAGCTGTGACAATACTGAGTATGTGCTCATAGGCTTCTAAAATTAGCTTTGCAAAGTTGGTGATTTCAGTGTTTATGACAGTGCTGAAATTAAACCCTTGACGAGGTTTAGTGAACAACCTTCAAGTTACTTTTCACACCAAGTTGTCATTTGAATCTTCTGTTAGTAACATTGTAAAGCTATCTTTTTCCACGTGCATAACATTATTCTCTTAAAGCCCTTGCTGAAATATTAATAACCAGGTACTAATATGCACCCTTAAGGGGTAATTACATACATTTAGTACAAGTGTTCATCTGAGATCTACTGATTCAGCTCTGATGATGACCAGTTTCCACACAATGGATAATAAGTATTTCTTTTACAGAACACTCTCTGAAGTTCTTATTGCTCAATTCCATTAGAGAGACTTTGACTTAATAAACATGACCTATGTTTTCACTGTAACTTTTAATATATAATTCAGTTTTACAGTTGTAATTTGGGTTCATTGACTAAACCATTTCTATTTATCTTATGTATTGCGCTTATCATAGGTGTTTTCTTATTGTTTATTATGTTATAAAGCTAGATATTGTGTTAATCCTGACAAATTATCCTTGAGATCAGTTTCTATTATGGATTAAGGTTTTCAAGTTACATTTTTTAAAAGACATTTTAATGAGATTTCTAAAAATAAATTGGCATTTTAGCTTTGATAAATATATCATGTTTATCTTTAAGGAATTGTACTTAAACCTGTGATGATGAAAAATTGGATTTTTAGTTCTTTCCAAGATTAGAGACCTAAAACCTGAATATATCACACATTCATACAGTTTTTGATACCAGAGTTTGTGTTTTATAGAAAATCGTAAACCTGTGTGCCTTCAGTTAATGATCAATTGATTTCTTGTAAGCTGATTCCCAGCACCATGAAGCTTCCTGAAGACAGGCCCGAGTTCTTCTTCTATTACAACTTGCTGGGAAACGACGTGACCAATGAACCCTTCACTGACCTTATCAACCCTAACTTTGAGCCAGAGCGAGCCTCAGTGAAGATTCGCAGCAGCGCTGAAGTTCTCAGAGTGTTCTTCGCAGCACAGCCAAGCCTTCAGGTTCTAGTTTTTGTGCATCCAGTCTTGTTACCAGATCCTTCTATGTGGACGTAGCACATTTTTCAGATAATTCATATAAATCACGTACACATAAACATATAAATCACATTTTTCTGAGAATTCAATTTAAATGCATCTCGGGGTGTTTTGTGTTTAAAAAATGAGAAGTTTTCTTCGTCTCTCCCATCTGTCGTACATCCCTTTGCAAAGTTGTTTCTACTGTTTGTTTGTGCCAGTAATTGCTGGTAATAGTATCTGACCGTCATTTCATCGATAGTTTTGAATGCCAAACAAAAACAGGTCACCGCAGAAAGCTGATTGTACCCTGTGTGTAAAAAATAATATGTGGTTTTATTGTCTCTCCTTTTTTTTTATTTATGCAGATACACCTTTGCTGCGGAGACCAGTCCCTAGGTAGTACAGAGATTTCGCTGGCAGGAATTTTGAAGAAAAGCAGCGTTGACATTGAGAAACAGCCTGCAGCAGTGGAAGGAGCTTTCGTTCTGATCCCTCCAAACAGAGCCAAACAAAAGCTGCCATCTGTTCCTCTTGAGTTACAGCCAACTGTTGGAGTGTCAGTCACGCTGAGAAAAGACGCAGACAATTCACAGGTACCATTACCCTTTTAACCTTTGTACTATTCCTTTTAGCAGAATTAGCTCCCGAATGCAAAATTGTTTTGTGGACAAGTTGTGACATTTCTAAAGAAACAGTACATTGCCTTTTATAAGAACAAGACAAAATTCTCTTATTTTGTTTTAAAGAATGTCTGTATACTTTAAAATAAGGGCATCTGTGTGTCGTTTCAACATGACATCTCAGATTTTAACATAAATCTTGTTTTCATTTAGATTTTCTTAAGAGAAAAATACCGTCAATATGTAGTTTAATTACATAAGGTTTTGAAAGTGTGTGGGTTTCAAATCGACCTACTGTATTGCCTTTCAGATTATGTCTCAGATTTCTTTGGACAAGGGTCGGTGTTTTCAAATTTTCATTGACAAGAAAATTATTAAACTAAAATTTTGGTAAAAATGCTTTTCATGTTGTCATAATCTATGAAAATCATAATTACCCATTTTTAGTTTTCATTGCTAATTGCTAGAATGTGCAATACAATTTAAGTTTTCAAGATGTCCTGGATTTGTCTGTTTCCCCTAAATTGTTACAACCTGGGTTTTGTGTAGCATTGTTGCAAATTAGTGATTTATTGTCTGACTGTAGTTCCTATAAAATTATCTACATGTAATTTTTATGTAAAACGTTAGACATATTGGAATTAGGTGGCTTAGAACCTAAGCTTATACTTAATCTTATGACTGCATAGTCAACTTTCCTGTTATGTTGTGAATAGTTATGTTAAGTTATCCCACACAGAGGTTCTTTTTAAATTTACATACATTTGATCTGAATGCCGTTATCACTGTTTCATTTTCCTTTGTGCGTCATCTTTCTGTAAGACGTTTCCCATCAGTTCAGTTGCTTTTCTTCCCCTACGTTAGTCAAGAACAGAAAAGTCCAAAAACAATATCTAAACATGTCTCAGTAAATAACATAAACAATGAGGTTGTATGCTATTCATCAAGGGCAAATTAAGATGTTTGTGATTCTGTATAACGGATAATGTATTGTGTGTAGCCTGCAGGTCCTGCTGTGAGTGAAGATGTAGCTCGGACTCCCGTGAAGAAGAGAGTTGTGTCTCCTACCCTCCCTAAGTCCCAGGCTCTGGAGCACAGGGCCCGCTCTGTTTCTCCTCCCAGGAGTCCCCCTGCCCCGAGCCAAAACCCCCCCATAGTTGACCCTGCAACCGAAAGTGAGGTGGAGAGCTTGCAGGAAGACCTGAGACACGCAAAGAGGGACCAATACGGTAAGAAGATCCTCAGGAATGAGAACACCTTCTCTCCCCCTTGAGCAATAATACACAAATTCATCCATGTACACCTGACGCCAGAGCAGACCTGAGCCCTTATGGAAAGAACTCAGAAGAGTACTCTTATAAGTGTACGTTCTACTGCTATTTTTAGCTTTTTGGAGCTAAATTGGTATGGAAAATGATTAACTGTTTTAATTCTAATAGGAAAGAAAGATTCAGAATAAGACTTTAATCTCCGTTTTCAATCACAGCTTGGCCTTGTTTCATGTCATGGGTAACTGGAATTGCTTGTTATTGGCTAAGGCTGCCTAAGTTGGCCTAGTGCTGAGAGACGTTTCCCTTTTCTATACATATATACGCTATTACACAAGGTTGTAGAAATGAATGTGGACCAGAGAAAATAAATTATCCTCATTGTTCACTGTTGAGCTTGGTATTGTTTCTTTGTTCATTTTATTTATCTGGATTGATCGTCGGGTAAAATGACAAACAAAGTCAAGTTAGTGTACATCTGCTTGAGAAAGTTCTCTATGGAAGCTGTGAGTGTGCCTGCCACCCCAGAGATTTAACTCATTTAAGATTTTTCTTCTTTTTTTACAGTAAATTTTGTTGTATTGCTCATCTTTAATTCTGTATGATCAAAAACCATTCTTAAACATGTTTAAAATAACCTTCCATTACGATGTATTGTGCACACATTTATAAGCAATGCTGTCATCTTAAGTTATCTGTCAGCTTGCATGAAACCTGTCATACTTTAATCTGTCAGGAAATATACTCACAGTGAAAAGTCATGCATTAACTACAGTTACATGTAACGTAAATGGTTGCATTATGTTTTGATCTGTTTGATATTATGTTTTTTATTTGCCTTTTAAACAAAATTGACTGTTGTGGAATATTTGCTAAGCAAATAAGTGGGGATGCAGTAGACCAAAATATACAGGGTTTTGAGATGCAGAACAAAATTTGTTTACCTTTTAATTATAGCAGAGTGCAGTTTTATACTATATTGCATGTACAACTGGAAAATCTTTATCTTTATGATAGAAAAATGTTACCAATTAAAGATACAATAGCAAAAGCTTTTTAGCATTCTAGTTTGCATTGTATAAGAAAACATAATTTCTTAATGTTACTTTAAAATATTTAAATTTCAAGAACACTCTTAACAGTTGATTGGAAATTACTGTGTAGGAAGTACTATGATACTTCGTGAATGTTATTTAAATGTGAAATCACATTGAGTGATTAGCAAGTTAAATTGTTTTTTTCTTCAAAATACCTAGCCAAAATCAGTTTAGATGGATGTTAAGCGTAATGACTGTTAATCTTTGTGTTGAAAGGTGCTGTGTTATGAGATTTACCTTTCTCGTTTGGCAGACTCTGATGGAGGATATCGCGAGGAGCTCCCCATTTCAAATCACCCAAGGCGAGAAAAGTCATCCATCCCCCCCCAGCCTTCACTTCAGAGTAATGTTTTGTTTCTTAAATTGACGACTACCATTATTGTTTCCCATAAAAAAGAACTGAGGCTTTAAAATGGCTCAACCAGGGAAGACGCTCTCTCCAAACAGAGGCTTAGCTCTGTGCCCCAGCCCTCAGGGTCATGTCATCTTATGACATGAACTGGGATTCCCAACATAGTGTCCCGTAATTGGCTGGTTGCCACCAGGGTTGGTTTGAAATCGGTTTGCTAAGATCTTTTTGGCTTTCTGCAAAACAGCGACTCCTACAACTTCCTTGGCACCTGAAGGAATTCCATAATGTCGGTTAAGAAATGTACTAGATCTTGAGTTGGTAGTGACTCTCCTGTAAGGCTCTGTAGATTTTGCAGTATGTTATGAAATGAATGACTGATGAGTAGATGGGTCAGATTAGGATTTTACCCATCTTAATTTGCTGAATGCAGATGCAGGAGCTGTTTCCTCTCTATCTCAGCTCACAGTATTTAATGATTCTAAATTGTGCATTTTAAATAAAAATTAAAAAATATTTGAAAACATAATTAGACCTTTTTTTATATAATTCCCCAAATTTAGAATATTCTGCTGTTCATCAGTTCCTCACTAATTGTAGAATCCTTGCACAAACACGAGTGAGATTACATGCACATATCCTCTGAGAACTGCACTGTGTTGCTCCTCTGCTTTTGAGACTGCAGTCCCTCACAGAAAAGAAAACAGAATTATTACCCTTAAGGATAAATGCTTAGCAAGACACAGGGGTCATTGTGATGCAGTTAGCCAAAGTATCCATTGCCAATTAAAAAAAAACACCAAACCCTGGTATTGCCTGGGCAATTGTGCACAGCATTGAGGATTCCCAGCCACTGATGGCAAAACCCAGAATCAAACAATATGTGGTCTTTAGGTTCAGTAGATGTAGTGAGTACTGAGTCCCTAGGAGCTACAGAAGCTGTTACTTTAACAGCTTTAAATATGTGTCACACATATCCTGATGTATTGCTTGCAATGGTGCGCACTACTCACCTTTGACTTTCACAGTACACCCCCAGTTGATAACAGATGTTGATCAGCCATGTTATGTCAATAAATTGTGTGTATCAATCTGCAAAATCATTTTCATTTTCCTGACAGCAGCTTTCGAATCTGCTGCAGTTTCTTCGTCTCAATATTGTCTCTTTGTTTGCTATACAGCAGGGGTCGAAAAACTTTTTATAGCAAGGACCACAAAAAGATTTTGACTAACCTTGCTGGGCCATCTGAGTGAAATCCAATAAACTCACCGACTGCAATAGATCGCGTTTCTCCGAGCACATCTCCTTCGCGACCTCTTGCATTCATTGCTTAATAAACTCGCCGTCCGTAAAGGGTTTGCTAGCTGCTGCTAGAAGCTGTGATACTCGATAACTAGCTCAGGTAACTGCAAACATTTTTTTAAATTTTCTCTTGAAATCATTACCTGCTTTCAAACAAGATGGCATACACTAGACGTCATTTGTGTGACTGAGCCAATCACAGTAGGCAATTAAATTTCCAAATGAGTTGTAGCACAGGCGTATGTAACCTAGGCTAAAGCTGACGTCTGATAGGCTAAAAGTTAAATGCAACATGCAATAGTTGTTGTTCTGCAATTGACCGAAAGCGCTGGGAGAGAGCAGCAGAGCTAAAAAGTAGAGGCCACTGGCAGAGGATTTTCAGTATCGGATGCAAAAAGTAACCCCCAAGATTCAAGCAGTAGTGAGCTGTGGGCCACTCAGAAAAGTTCAGCAAGCTGGATATGGCCCATGGGACGTAGTTTGCTGACCCCTGCTATATAGCATTACTGTCTGCACCATGCAGGTAACCCTCAGTATTTCTCTATAAAATACCTTTCAGGTGTCTAAAACATTTGTCTAAATCTTTTTGAATTTCCTTTGCAGCATTTAAAGTGTTGGCCAGTCCTCCATCTTCCTATTTTGATTATCATCTCCATACTCAACTAATTTACTAACTATAACCGTATCTAAGTACTTGATCTAAATGAGTTGTGAAATACTATAGACCCCAGCTGTACTCCACTAATTACATCATCACAATGTCAGCATTCACCTTTATTTGTACCGTTTCATGTCTGCTAATCAGTTATCAATTCAAATACATGAATGCTTACCTTGAATGACTACTACCTTCAGTTTAAAAATGATTAATCTTTTAGAGCAATACTTTGAATTTTATCAAAAGCCTAATACAAATCGTAATATTTCATCTGTATATAATATTTGTATCTTACTGTTAATTATTACAGTAAATAAGTAAATCCATGTCTGTTTTCTTCAATCCTATTGCCTCTTCAGTGCTAATTATTGCTTCCGTAATGTTATATTTAAAGTACAGAAATAGCTGTCAATACTTCATTTATGTTATATTGCAGTTAAATACATGCTTAGAATGTGTGTTTTGAATACTGTCATGCTACAGTATGTTGTACAGAAGAATTAGTTTGGAAAAGGAATTACAAATAAACCCAAAGAAGTTAATCTGTTTTCTGTGAATAATTTATTTTTTTTAGTCCCTGGTTCATCCAGTGCTGCAGAGGCTCTGCTCAAGGGTGAAGAAGCTCCAAACTCCAGCACCTCAGTCAATACATCGGCTCCAAAAGTTGCGATCCCAGCATCTGCTCATCATTTCTGTTTTTCATTAGATTTAAGAAGCATCAAAGACATGGATGTTGGCTTCTCAGTAAATTGTATACTAAGGTAATAATGTTAAAGTTCTTTGTTATAAAAATGTATTATTATTGTGCACATAGGTTTATCATTAAAAGCCTGGTGTGGTTATTCCAAATTGTGAAATTGAAACGATTGAAGACCACAAACATAAATTATTTATTACACGTAATATCTTATGTGAAATCTCATACAATCATGTTTGTTGAGTCCATGTTTACATCTCAGATGGATAAACACCTGAAACAGGTTTTCCAGCTACATTGTACCACAACTCTTGGGCAATGAATTGAGACCCTTTATTCATGTTGTCAATCGATAGGATGTTGTTTTAATATGATAGAACAGTTCTCAGTCATGTTACCAAGAACAATAGCTATAAAAGTTTCATTAGTGTAATCAAAAATATTCCTTTTGTAGAAAATGAGCTTTTTTAATTTTAATTTTGTATAGTTGCGGGAAATTATATTTTGATGTTGACACTTAATTTGATGTTAAAGATTGTTTAATTGTTTTAATGTAATATCTGCATATTAGGTTTGGCTGGTGTTCATCTTCCTGTACAGAATTATGTATTGCACAGCACTGTCTCTCTTGACAAAATGTTAAATGTTACATCACTATAACAGTATATTCATATATACTGCAGCAAATGTATTCATTAATAATTAATGAAAAAATATAGGGTCTGTATTAATAAAATCTAAGTTAAAAACACTTAGATTGTTGCATTAAATCTCACAGGTGTAACATTGTCTGTGCTTTTCAAGTTGATTTCAAGGTTTTACACAAAGCAGATAGTTACATTTTAAGAAAGTACATATATTCAATCCAGATACTTAACTTCTAAGTTGTATAAAGTTTTAAAGAGAATATTGCACAAATCACATGTATCGTTTATCTTTTTTTAAAGATACTCCTACCCTTTTTTTGGGAGTGCGGCCCCCATTATGACCAACCCTCCAACAGAAATTCGAAAGAACATGGAAGTTTTCCTGCCTCAGTCATACTGTGCATTTGATTTTGCAGCCATGCCTCAGCAGCTGCAGGACACATTTTTCAGGTACTACGTGTTTTTATTTTATTTGTTAATTTCCAACAACGCTCACATAATCATTAAAGAGCAGTAAGATTAATAGAACAAGAAAATACCACAAAAGGAAATAGTATACAATACAATAAAGATACAAAAACAAAGAACTATAAACTAGCATGTTTTTTTTAAGTGTAAGGTGTCTCTAGAAAATGTGTTAAAGTTAATTTTTCAGTTTATTTGCTTATTCATAGTGTACTAGTGATATTTCAAAACAGACCACTTACACTGTAATTCCTTCTCCACTGATGCGTAATATGCAATAAGACATATACAGATTATAAATGAATGAATGCGTTTTGGCCCATCTAGCATGTTTGGTGGTTTGATTAGATCCTTGGCTACTTTCAAGAAACACTAATTCATTGATATAAGGTATCAGCTTCAACAACATGGCTGGGTACATTATTACATTCCATTCTCAGTTTTGAATATACTTCTTCATAGTTCCCACATGTATCCTCTGGTTTACTTTTTGCTATTTAGTCAGAAGTCCACTGTGTTGCGTTTGTCAGTGCCTTTGATGATATTTAATACTTGGATCAAGTTAAAGACTCAAAAAATCTGTTAAAGACTAAAAAGATTGTTTCTTCAACCTGTCAGTATATGACATTCCCTAAAACTCTGGAATGTGTTTGGTTGCTTTGGTCTGGACTGATTCCAGATCAGCAATATTTGATTAAAAAAAGTGGTGAGCAAAATTGTACACAAAAACAAATCACTTTAATATCGCTTCTGTGGGTAGAATGGAACACACTGTGTAAAAACTAACATTCCTCAATTTTCAAGAGGTGGTATCTGAAGCATAATCAATAAGTAAATTAAGAGAGAAACATCTGTACAGTAATTTACAAATCTACTACTGAACAACCCAAAAAGCTGTCTAACAAAGATGAGCAATAGTTGAAGAAAATATCCTTCTGGCACAGAAGGAAGACAATTGTTAAATTGCCAAATGAACTGGCATAAGACTCAGATGTTGTCATCCATCCGTAATATAGTGCAAAACTTGTGTTGAAATCATGACCTAAAGGATGTGTTCCAATAAGAAAACGTCTGTTAAGAAAGGGGAACGAGAATAAAATGTAAATTGGGCACAAGAACACAGAAATTGGATGTTAGAAGAATGATCAGTGATGCTTTGGACAGAAGTCAGTTTCCTTTATTTGGATCTAATAGAAGACAGTATATGAGACACCAAACAACTGAAACCTATGATGATTCATTCCTTAAGCCAGGAATTGAATCTGAATAAGGTTCAGTTCAAGTTTGGCTGTGCCCTATCCTCATGTGGGGTTCGAACATTGCTGAAAATGGATAATATATTGACTACAATGAGGTATAAACTTCACCATGCTATTCCCAATGGTCTGAGATGTATTTGTTCAAACTGCATCTTTCAGTAAGATTATGATCCAAAACATTCATCTGAAATAATTGAAATGTTAATTTGCAAAAGTAAAGATGTTGCTTACATTTTCCAGTGCATGGAATGACCACATCAAAGCCCAAATCTCTGTAATTGATTCCAGCATTTTAGATCTTTGGAAGGACTTTTAGGAAGTATAAAAATGCTATTCCACAAGAGTAATTATAAATGATTTGTTAATGTCCCTAAAATCTTCATAGTTTTGAATGGACATGCTTATAGCTATCATATATTATTTGTAAAGTTGCTTATTTGATTAAGATTTTTTTCATAAAGATATTTTTGTATTGGGCACTGTTTTTAGTTTATTTTAGTTTAGGTCCTCATACAGCAGAGTAGCAAATGTAAATTGTCTAAGACTTTTGCACAGAAATGTAGATATTGACAAATCAAATTGACTATTTTGGTGAGCTCTGAACTGTAAATCAATAAACCATAGAAGTAATAAGTTTACTTATTAATCACTTAGGTAAGCTAGCTGTTAATAGCCCCCATTATCATAAGATTGTGTAATTAAAACCCCTCAATTTCTATTATTTTTTCCATACTAAATTAGTATTTAAATGCTGTAAATTCATTTTTGTAAAGGCTTGCCTTTATGGATACTGTACCAATCCTAGCTACAAATATTGGGAAAGGTTTATGAGACGTTCAGTTTCATTTAGATACACTGGCGAAAGTAAAACTGACAAGATGCTTACTGATTTCAAAACAATTTAAATAAATTCTCCAACACCTCAAACAATAGGAATGTAGTAGTGGCTGTTATGAATGATTTATCAATCCAGCATGTGCAACACTTGGTACATAGTAAGCAGTTAAATTGTGTTGAGATGTGATTTTCTTTTCAAATTAAATTACTAGCATATTTGAAACCTGTTAAAACCAGTGCATCCCCTTCACATGTGAAATAATAGTGTAGGTTAGGGATGATAATCCAATAAAATCTCCATGTAGTGTTTATTACAAAACAAAAACCATTATACAACATGTAGCCAAAAAAAAGTTGAAAGAGTGACATTCCTGTTTGACTTTTAAATGTTAAACAACCGTAACAGCATTTACAGTACATCCAAGTAAACCTGTAAATTGACTTTGTGTCAATATAATGGATAATGTACTGTACACTAACAGATAGTGAAGTATGCTTTATTCACGGCTTCTATTGCTGTTCGGGACATAATTGAAAATAAAAATTTTACCCATTTACTGTTTGACATTCATATGATTCTCAGATGTAACATGGAGACTTGCAGTTAAAAAGATATTTCAGCATAATTGTGATAAATTGTGATAAAGTAGACAGAATTCACACAGTTTAGCAGCTTTGATCATTTGCTTTCAATAAGATTTGCGAAGATTGCACCTGCATGATTTTTATTTTTATTTATAATGTAATTGTATTAATATTTTATAAAGAGTTATACTTTGTAGTGTAAGCAAATTTTTCATTGCCCTCACCAAATTGCTCAGGACTGCTTTCTAACACAACCGCCTAAAGACTCTCTCACTCAAATTGATGTTTATATTTCAGTGTTATTCCCATTTGGTTTCTCTTCTTTCAGGCTGCCTCTATTAGTGGAGGTTTGGCACAGAGATAAATCCTCCAAAGACCTGCTTCTGGGCATAGCTAGAATTCAGCTTGCACATGTATTAACAACTGAGAAAACAAGATTCTTAGGCCAGTCGGGTGACCAGTGCTGGAGACAGACCTACACTGAGAGAGTGCCTGTTACTGCAGCCAAAGAGTAAGTGAATTTAAAGTATTAGAGACGGACTGCGATTCAAACCTTTCATCTTCAAATTGGGTACCTTGCAACACAATTTCTGTGGACCAGTTTAGTTGTGTTTTTAACTTGAGTTAGTTGTAGGAAGAATTCTTACCTCTGTGGATTTTTTTTTGTTCAATTATATTTCTTTTATTCTTTGTTTCATTCAACAGGAGACCAAGAAACAATGCATGACCGTACAATTACTGGTCAATGCTTCATTTTACTTTCATATAACCGAAAAGTACATTTTTCATTTAAAACTATTTTCCCATGTTCAGATTTCAGTTGTACTGAACTCTTCATAAATTTGAGACGATGATATATGGCAAGTCTATTAATTCGTTTTTAAATACACTTTCAGTATTGCAAAATGGATAAAATATTGTATGTACATGATGGGATCCTCCACTAGATGGCAGCAGAATATACTTATCTGCATCCTTTAGAAGTCATATTTTTGGATATATGATATAATAATCTTAAAATGGTTGATGTTAGGTTTTGTGCAACTGTTTCCCTCTTCCACTACAGCCCCAATGAGAAAGTTGCCGAGTTGTGTTACTTCATGACTTTAGAGGACTTTGGTCTGGTGAGATCTCAAGAGATTTTGATATCTGAATCTTCACAGGTAATGCATATCAAAATGATTGTTACAAACTATTGGCTGTTAGAACATATTAAGTTTATATAAGAAACACCTTATTTGTGAGAGGTATTCCGTCAAAGGTATATGCATCTAATATATGCCCAATTTTACTCCCCAAAGCTAGCTGTGCCACACTGAGGAGTCTTAAAAGGGTGGAAGCCACGTATCCATGGCTACTAACCTTGACTTTATGTATGTGACATGGCACTAGATGTCTTTTTTTGGGTGGTTTTGATTTGTAGCATTATGAAATGGCCACAGCTAATTAATATTCACATTCCCATAATTCATAGTAACTGGTCTTAAGGTACCTGACCCTCAAGACCCTGAAAGGTGTTTCTTGTAAGATATATAAATAGAATGTTTTCCATTCAGATATATAAAGTTGATAATTAATGTACTCTTAAGTGATGTTTATTACATGTATTTAAATGTAATAATGTAGTCCTTTGATGTAAGGATAACATATGACAGAAGGTCACTAGAGTGTTTCTTTTAAGAGTGAACTGTTTATACACCCGCTCTCTTGTTTTGTTCAAATTCGAGGCCGTTTAGGTGAGGCTGCAGAAACGATACTCAGTATTTGGTTTTTCATGACAGAGCACCAGTACCAGCCAGCCCAGGCCAGGACCTCCTTGTCAGCCTCCACACAGTCATCAGCTGGACACTGAGCCTGAACCAAGACAGACTTTGGAGTACAAGGCTGCCCTGGAATTGGAAATGTGGAAGGAACTGCAAGAAGACATGTTTGAGAACCAGGTTTGACCTGTTATCCGTGTTCTATTTTTTTAATAAAAGTTTAGTCATTTTTTGTAACATTTTTGTTTTAAAAGGCCGTTTGCTCCATCTCGTTCATTTAGTTTTATATCTGTTTTTTTCATACATGGGTTAGATCTCAAAGCTCTTTGATAGTTAGAAAATATATTTGTTTGTTGAATTTCAGAAATGCTGTTTAATTGTGAAAACATGCAGTAGAAACTAACACCTGTAGGTTCCCCTGAAAAACATTTCCTAAGCAGGCAGCTGGATTTCTATATGTATATTTGCTGTAATTATTATTTCTGCATCTTTTTATAGCTGAAACAGAAGGAGCTGGCCCATATGCAGGCCCTGGCAGAGGAGTGGAAGAAAAGAGACCGAGAGAGGGAGGCACTTGTAAAGAAAAAAGTAGGGGACACTGTACAGGCTGTCATATCTTTATCTCTTTCTGAATAATGCGGAATTAAAAAAATAAACCAGATAAGGTTTTACTTTGTACAAAAGATAATCTCTGCAATACAATATAAAGAGTTACCTTGTCAACTACAAAGCATGGATTTAAATAACCAAAAGATGGAGGTTCAGCATGTGTATGTCATAGGTCATCTACACGTTGTATGCAAAGACGTAGTCCAGAAGTTTTAACTGAATGGGAGCATGTAATGTAAAGATTAAAGCCAATGGACATGGAATTCATTGGTAGTAAATGACTATAATAGAAAGCTGCTTTGAGGTTTTAAAAGTTCTAAGTCCAAGGCAAAATTGTTGTTTTTTTATTCATTCTTTGGGACCGTGCTTCTGCTTTGCATCAGACACCAAATTGGATTTATCCTGAGATTATCCCTAAAAGGAAAGCCGCAATCCATTCCAGGGGATTTGTTTCTGCTCCGCCATTATCCAGTAGAATCTGAATATAATTAATGTCAGCAGCATCACCTAAATCCTGAAGTTTCTTAAGTATCACTGAAGGTTTTGAAATATACTATTGATAATCTCTAAAAAAACAAGGGTTACAGTTTTCATTGCTGAATAACTTGAAGGAGTTTGTCATTTATATTTGAATAATAGGCTAGTGCTGGGCATTAATTGGAAGATGAAGGGTAAGATCTTGCTCCACCCACTTATTTTACAACAAGCTTAGAGAGCTTTTTGTTATCATCTACTGTTCTAATGTAGTGCAACATATCTCAAGTGCTACTTTGCTTGGTAGTTTTAAGTCCAAATGTAAATTGTTTTTATCTTGATTTTGAGTTTTAAAACACTGAAGTCGTTATGCTTATTTTATCTTGATTATTTGTATATACAGTCCTAAGGAGCTTCATCAAATTGGCAATTGCTTATCAATATATTATTTGAACTGTTCATTATAATTTTTTTCATTTTCTTATTCCTTAGGGCATTTTTATGTGCTTTGTTTGAAGTGTGCACTTTGTAAATAAGATGAGTATTTGTGATATTCCTGTCTGCTGTTGTTGTGTGAGTAACTGTATCACAGGAAACTGATATATTAAAGCAATGAGAAAGTGAGCTATAGCCTCGATTAAAAAATGTAATTTATTTCAGTGTTGGTAAATTATAATATCTGCTGAAATACAGGTAGCAGAGTACACTATGTTGGAGGAACAGCTTCAGAAAACCCTGGCTGATTTAGAAAAGAGAGAAAAACAGCTTGCCTTTTCCGAGACAGAGGTGAGAATCCTGAGAGACTTGAACATCTGCCTTTTAATTCTGCAATTCATAATGCATTTATACCCACTGTCTCTTTGAAAGTTTGCTCGAAATTGTTTTATTCATGCGATCCTCTTTAAAGTACCTCTCCTTGTGTTAAAAGGACTGAATCCCCTGAATTATTTAGATTATTATGATTGATTCCACGTCCAAAGATATAACAATTTATGTTGGTGTGTTTCATGATAAAATGTAATTTTTTCCCCAAAGTAATTACATGCTTTCAGGGACTGGTCTCTGAAAAGAATATGATTATAAAGAATTATTTTTTAAAAGAATAATTTCACTAACTGAGATTTAATGTGATCAGACTGAGATTCTTATGTAACATTTGAAGAAACACAAGTAATATAAACATATCTGTTTCCGAATAGTGCACAGAAAGAGACGATAAAGTTACTTTTAGGGTAACATATGCTATACATCAAAATAATCATGGGAACATATTTGGAAATTGTGTTTGTGTATTGTGTAAAGTATATGTCGGAATATGTTGAAACTTGAATATTCCTCAGTACTGGTGTTTAGCTGTTTGTCTTTATAACAATAGCTTCATAGGCTGCAGCGGGAGATGAAAGCTGAGCATGACCGTAGCCTGAGGGAGCTACAGGACAGCAGCCGACGACTCCGAGAAGACTGTGCCCACCAAGTGGAACTGGAGAGATTAAAGGTCAAACAGCTAGAAGAGGACAAACAGCGTCAACAACAACAGGTAGATGGCAAAAAAATATTCTCTGCACCAGGCCAATGGTCAAATGTCCCAAAGCTGAACTGTTGACCCTAGGGTTCAATTGAGTCATGGCTTCTAGTTTTTCTTTAAAATGTATTAATCAGTGATTTGAAATGCACTGTAGAGCTAATTGATATATCACTAAACTATCACGATATAGACATATACACTATAGTTACATATTACTATCTGTCACTATATAACTATAGCCTGTTATGTGTTTAGAAATCCTGTTTTATGTGTCTTTAATGCCTTTATATTTAAAAGCTCCAAAGTAGAAGCTCTACGTGTTAAAGTCAACTACAGTCAAGAGTACAGTGCACAGCATATGGATGTCTTGCAACCAAACAGCTGTTGAAGAAGGGGAAAAAAGACTTCAACTGCGTGATATGAACTTAAATTTCATAGTCTACACTTGACAAACACAACCTATTTGTGTGTTCCGTGGGGAAAACATAAAAATAACATGAAGTTGAGCAAAATGAGTGAGGAAAAATGAACTGAAGCATTCTGGAAATCCTGGCAATCAACATCAGTGCTACTCCTTCAGAAAAAAATCTGAAAATCAGTAAGACTGTTGGCTTGTGTGTCACTTGCAAAAAGCATGCATTGACCCGCGGTTTGATCACATGTGGTTAATTCTTAAACCGTCTTGCATAGATGCAATCCTCTTGAACAATCCTGCAATGGAAATAGTTTTGGAAGCCATTTAATTATGAGCACCAAAGCATTTTGTGCTACTGTATACCAGAATCCTCAACAAAGGTTTCAAATAACTATGACTTTATGTTGAAAGTACCGAAGACTCTGTGGAACGTCTTTATCTATGGTGATTGTTCTCTCCAAGTGAGAGGGAAACAGCCAAGTAGACAGGTTTAAGTACCTTGGGGTCTTGTTCGTGAGAAAAGGTAGAGGGGATTGACTGACCAGCAGATTGGTACAGCAGCTGCAGTAATGAATACGTTGGGAGACAGAGTATTAAAGTATGAAAGTTAAGGCACTTTAGACTCTATAAGAATTAAATGAGAAAATATACAATTTAACGGTTGGTAAATTCTTCTAGACCGCCTAAAGCAGGCACGGGCACAAGGAGCTTACTGTATAAAATAATCAAGAACGTATGCAGTAGAGATGGTATTAGTTATCAATTTTCAGCACATAAATTGGAATTTGTTTTATGCGGTGTACAGAAGTTTAAATGAAGAGGTGGCTGGAACAACGAATGATTACACCTTGAACAAGTTTGCAAAGGCACCTGCTATAGAAGATGCTAGTCTTCCATAGACCTAGTCTTCTCATATAACCAGAATATAATAATGGGAATAGACATGAGAACCAAAGAGAAGTAATAAACTGCAGTTAAAAACTAATTTTACATTGCACACACACTTATGCGCTCTACTTTTGGAAAAACATACCATGAATGAATGAAACAGAGCTTACAAGCAGGTGAATGGCAGAAATATGGATGTACTTAAACTATGTTAAATAAATCACCATGTCTCAAAAACTACCTAAATGTATAATGCAGAAATTATTTAAAAAATCAAATTGAAGTTAACACTTATAAAACAGCCCAAGATTCAAAGAAAAAAAAAACATATCAGGCTATATGCATAACTAAAAAAATGCTAAGTCAACAATATTTGAATATTGCAAGAAGAATGTACACTTATTTTTTAAGTTATATTGGATAAACTAGAAGATTTAATATTACATGTACAAAATATTTTACATAAGATGTGAAGAGTAGAAAACAAACATTTCCCATGTTATAAAAGTAGCACCATTGGTCATTTTACAGGGGCTACCTTAGTTTAAAACTCATAAATTTCTTGGGCCTAATGATATTTTCCCATTCATAGGATTCATAGATTCATAGTACTTCAATGCTATACTTTGATTGTACTGTAGAGTTGAAAATTCTACAACAATTCATAAAAGATATATAAACCTGAACCAGGAAAAAGCAGATGTATCATTCTTACTGCTTTTATTGGTAAAGTTATGGAAACAATACTAAATTTTAAACTCAGTACTTACTGCTTACAAAATAGCTGAATTAAAAATTACATGAATTTTGGAAGGGAAGGACATGTTCAATTGAAGTACCAAACATCTTCAAACATCTTCAAACCAGTAACAAGGTCAATTGATAACACTGAAGCATACACCAAAATATACTGTAAGTAGATTTTGAGAAAGCTAAGGTCCCTTGTAAAAGACTAAATTCTCATTTTAAAAGCCATAGAAATTCAACTTTTGCTGTTGTATAATTCATAAACTTGTTAAATATGCTAATGATACAAAAATCAGATGAATGACAAACATTAAAACAGCAGCAAAGGAGTGACACATGGATTGGAAAGATACTTGGCAAATGAATTTTAAATGTAAAGTGACCCACACAGGAAGCAGGAATATACAGTACAGGTAGTTCTCAGGTTACATGCTCTGACTTTTGCAAAGCTTTGGTTTAACACTCACAATCAGGTGGAGGTCTGCAATCTGAGCACCAGGCAGGCAACATACCATAAGAGACTCGCTTATGAGTATGACTACTAGTCAAGAGTCGGTAAAAACTCCTCTCCTTCAAGAAACTCTGCAAATGTTACATGTTGCAGGCAACGCCAAATAAAATCCATATATCGCTCATTCATATAATAACCTCTCTAATAACTGAGTATCCCACTATACTTATCTCCCCTTAACTGGGGGAAGAGGACTCCTGGGTGGCCCTGGAGCCTGTCAGTCTACCCATTTTCCTCCCAGCTATTTGTACCGAGATCAAAGGTCTGGATGCAGCTGGACAAGGCAAACTCTAGGGTTTTCATTCTTTTTCCTGTACCTGCTGCCTGCAGTGGACCAGTTAGCTCTCACTTGTCCGTCTAAAGTCCTGTGCCCCATTGCTCTTGGTGTACACACAATTGCCCTAGAGTCAAGTTGTTCTTTGCTAAATCTGTGTTACAGCAGAAGTAAGAAAGCTGGGATCCAAGCCTCTTGGACTCAAGTCACTCAACCAGCTGACAGCATCCACAGATTAAGTCTCAATGGATGTCTCCATCCAGATACCCAGTCATTCATCCGAATTGCAATGGCCTTGTAATGCTATTTCTTTTTATTCATTTCAACTCTTTTGAATCCTGCAGGAGGATCTGTACCACTTCTATCCTTAGCTTAGTTGCTTTCTGCTGTTATTGGGTTCGGTTGTATCTTAGGAGTTGAAAAGCCAGCAATCATCTGTGGACAAATTTAAAGGTGACTAGAAAAAAGGTCCAGGAGCAAAATATAGTAATATTATATATATAGTATAGTATAGTAGTTTTAACTGGTTTTGGGGAAACCATACTACTCAAAGAGGTCTAAGCAATGAGCACTCCTCTTACTATGTTCTATGTGTGCAACACAACTATTCCTCCTGCTATAAACTTATCTCCTATTTTCTATTTTCTGATGCTCTCATACAGGGCTGTACATTATACAAAATGTACTTTTTTCCACATTTGGCAAAACAGTTTTAAAATATAGGTAGTTATTGATCAGCTTAAAGTGCCCCTTGATAATATACATTTTTTTATTACAAAAGGTTAAAATAACTTTTTGTTGTAGCTGACAAAAATGAAAAAATCATGCTTGCATAATAGTTCATTAATGTACTGTATAGTATTCTGCTTAATTTAAAAATTGAAATGTTTAGAAATTGTTTTTCACGTTAAAATTCACATTTTTGTTCAAATGCATTTTCACATCTGATATTCTGTGCATTCTTTTGTGAAAAATTAAGATCATATGACCCACATCCATGACAGTTTTATTTTTGTATTTAAAAATAATTTCATGATATAGTATGTTCCATTTGGTATAAAACACAGCAAAACAGTAAAAGTGGATCTGTGCTATTGTAATAGCTGACCCAAACTCATTGATACATTATATTTTTATGTATTTGTTAGTTTACATTTCATTTTACATTTCATTTAGCACAAAAGTTTAATTTTATGCCAGCAGATGTTTTTCTCTTGCTTAAAATAATTAATTTTCTCCCTGCTTATTTCAAATCTATTTGGCACGTACATAGTTGAGAAAAAGTATATTAGAAATAAACTAATCTTCAAAAGCATAAGTTAATGTGCTTTTGTAGTATAAATGTTTTTGTGTAAATCTGTGTAAATCAATAATATGCTTTCTTTCTAATAACATAATTCCTCTGAATTTACAAGACAATACAGAAGAGTCCATATATTAAAATATTCTTCATGGTTATCATATTTTGTATGAAGGAAAAAAAGGCATTTGTCTACTGTAGGAAAAAGAATGTCATGTTCAGACATATAGTAAAAGCTAACTAATGGACTGCATTGAAAAAAAGTACAGACAAGATGCCACACTGCTTTTTATCTTTGCTTCTTGTGTCAAGATCATGTAAACAGAGGCATTTGTCTTCCATTTGCAAACCAGAGTCCAATATATTAGTACTAAAGTTTCTATACTCCCCACTGGCCTACCCCATTCATTGTGTGCAAGAGTTTTTGTCCCATCTGCTTCATGTCAAATGATAGACTAAAAATCTCTTTTAATGGACACACCACTTTGCAGCAAAGACTAGATTAAGTTGTTTCCTATAGAAACTGTATAATGTATGTATCTTTACCAATCCATTTATCTTCGTCAGGCTATCAAAGGACATTTATGGCACTGTTTATTTGTAACCATTGCCAAAGTATATACCAAAGATATGTAATGTCACTTACAAAGGTTTGAACATACCATTTATTTGACATGATGTGTTGAGAAAATATATCCACTAGTATACAGGACTGAATTGCTAAGGGGAATATTATCTTAAACTGATGTTTCTCACTGTAAGTTGTGGCAGGGAAAAATGTTTTCTTTAGCTCCTTCAGTAACCTAACATTCTCATTACAAGAACTGAAATCCAAACATTTAGTATTAGGTTTCAACCCCTTCTAAAAAGAAAAACACTTTGCTTGTAATTGGACAGTTGCAGACCGAAGTATTGGTGTCAATTTGTTTTTAAAGCAAAAACATGAAGTAATTTTTGTAAAGAAATTTTGTATGTAAATTGTTTTATTTAAAGATTATAGGTACTAAAAATAAAAAATGCATTATATATAATGAAAAGTGTTCTTGTGCAAATTGTTTCATATTTTGATATTCAGGTAATTCAGCATACAGGTAGCCCAAGTATGAGAAATGTAGCACGATTTTTGCATTTATGGAAGACAGCAGTCCCGCAAAAACCTCAGATTACTGCAAACATAATTAAGAACTTTTAACTGAGAGAAGATGGTCAGGAAATTGACAAACGTCATCCTCCCTTAAACCTGTTCATTGTTTCACTAAGAAAGCATGATTGTTTGGTGGAAGAGAGTAGTTTAATTCTCTGTACTGAAGATAGTGGAATTCGTGTGATGGTATGGATTTTTTTTTTCCTTGCCTGGGCATTAGCAACCTTTTATTGTGGAGGGATCAATAAATACTGAAAAATATCAAGCGGTTTGCACTCCAATGTACTACCCAATGTTAGAAGGCCTATTGAGCAAAAGTTTGTGTTCCAGTAGGTTAACGACCCTAAGCATTTTGCAAACTCTGAAAAAGTTACCAGCATGGATTAATAATTTCAATCTTCAGAATGACCTTTATAGAGATGTTGTAGATTGACTTGTAGAAGACTGCTTTTATAAAAACAAAACCAAAGGAAATTGCAGAAGTCAAATCTTTTTGCGGTATGTTGAAGTGGTAAAAATATCTCTGGAAAAGTGCCAGGAAATGCCAGCAAAAGGACTGCGTGCTGGTCCAGACTCAGGGTGAGCATAAAGAATAAGGGTGCCCAAATACAAAATTAGGTTTGGCGTAATTGTAATATTTGTTTATTTTAAACATACATTTCTTTATTACTGTATTTCAATAGTATGTTTAGAATTTAGAGAAATTACTTTCTTTGTGATTTTTCAGTTTGTTTGGAAATGCACAAGTACTCTGTCACCAACTGTATATCTGTGGTGTTATTAATGGTATAACCTGATTAAATGGTCCAGGTTGGGGATATTTAGGTAACCATAGCAGTAAAAATGGTGATCTTGTGCCTGAAGTGCTGGATATATGCAGTATGTATAGATCTGCACATTCTGGTGTTTGCACTGCTACATGAATAATACTGTTAATGGGAAGCTATGAATCTGGATGATAACAGTCATTATTTTTTTAGCCAAGCAATCAATTTTCTTTTATACTTTGGCTATCATAATAAACATCTGATTCATGAAGTACTTCACATTGATAAACAACAGAATTAGAGCTTTGACATCTGTTGAAAACAAAACCAAAACCTTTCAAATATATGTGTGTGTATAGTTAGACGTCCACTGCTACACTCTGTACCTTCTTGTCAAATGTAGCCATATGAACCATCCATGACCTATTTTAGCTGTACAATGTTTTTTTATCTTTCCATAATTTTTACATTATAACTTAAATCATTTTGGCAAGATGTTAGTTTTACTGGCCACCCAGAAGACAAGGGATGCATCTGCAACAAGACAAATATTCTTTGTATGCAATGATTTTGTAATTTTACTGTACAATTAAGGCTGCCTTTTTTTCTGTCTGTTGCAGCTTCAGGATGCAGAGCACAAATACAGACTACTGGAAAAAGAATTTCTCCTGTTCAGGGAGCAGCAAAACACCAAACCAGAAATCCGACTTCAGTCAGAGCTCAATCTGCTGAGTCTTGAAAAAGTAAGAAGCTCTTTGTCATGGCACAGATACTTATCACCAATGGAAGAACGTCTCCTTTTCTTTTTAGAAGGACTAATATAAAGGTTGCTTCTTTCTTAAGGATGCAATAATAGAAACTGAAAATGTCTTAAGAAAATATTTGATTTGTCTGTAGTTATAATCTGTCATTTTCCTTTTTATTTAAAAACTATTTTGGTAATGTCAACAGCACTTTATGTTCAGTTAAAGTAGTAACTAACCACTTTTAAAAACTTTCATGAAAACCTCAGCTTATTATTTTAGTAGATGACTGGGACTGAGTTTCTGCACTACTGTGTAAAATAAACCAGTGCTCCTGAATTCTAAACACTATTCTGGTATGCCAAAATATGTTCTTGTAAAAACCACTATATACTACTGTGAATGAAAAGCATTTTAAGAAAGACTTGCTAGTACATTAATTCATAAGTATAATTTAATTCACTACTAGAGGTTTTCATCATCAGTATTTGGCTTTTTGCTCTGAATATATGATGGTATATGCCATTTAAACGAGCAAAGCTTTAATTAATCATATACAATAATTCTTAAGCATTTTCCCAGACTACATTAATGATATTAGACAATATCCAAGTAATCCCAGTAATGTTTTTATAAAGTGCAACTCTTACTCTTCAGCTTCAGTTAAAAATGCAGATTTACTCACAGAATTAGTATTACTTTTGTAAGTATAGGAAAGGCCCTACTAATTTCACAGCCCTGTGAAATACATAGCAACACATGCTATATGTTGTGTCTACTACAGTGAATTTAGTTCATTTGGAATTGGTTTCAATTTTTCAATTTAAGAAAGCCGATCGTGAACAAAGGTAAGAGTTTAACCACAACAAATGCTTTACTCACTGTTTGGTATATACTGCAGTGGAGGTACAGTATTTTTTCCGGTAATGTAACAGGTTAAACTATCATACGACATTAAGTGAAAGTCATTTAAATTCTACTTCTTTATCCCTGATATCGAGTGCCTTGTTTCTTCTTTACCAAACCTAATCATATGCTGGAAATCTTAATTTAAAACTGAATTCAGGACTACCCCTGAAGAGTGCATTTGTGCAGTTCTGGATTTCAGGGCACGTTTAGCTTGGTTTCAAAATGAAACTAATATAACCTCCGTGCTTAGTATGGTCAGCCTTGGATTGTGTCATTGTGGATTGTGAAGTGGACCTGAACTCTGTGCCATAATTGTGCAAACTGCAAAGCAACTTTTTCATAGATGTGTACACAGCAAGTGTTCATGTACCTTTTTGATCTCCAGAAGCGCAAGGATTAAATCACTTTACATTATTTAATTAGCCATAGTTAGTTGTTCAGGCTAATGTGTTTTTAGGCACATTTAAAACACTTGTGTTTTTTTAGACCGTGTGAATTAAAGTAATTGGGATATTAAGAGTTATATAGTACAATGTAAAGGAGTTTATTGTCATATGTACATGTACACTAGAATTCTTATCCACTCTGTTCTCTCAGAAAATGTATAGTACAGCAGACAACACCACACAATGCAGACAGTCCATTACAAAATGGTTCGTAATACATGGTAACAATCAGAACAATAAATGTTGTAGAGAACAATAAATTCTCTAGCTATAGCTGGGTTTTGTTTGACTGTGCACCTTCAATATGCCTATAGACTTGTAGTTACAGTCGAGCAGATTATATAGTTCAGTGTGAAATTGTTCTTTGAGGATTTTTAAATTTGAATAAGCTTTACCAGATGAATCGCCTTTAATAACCTTGTGATTTCAAATGTTCTCATTGCTTCAATGAGCTGAGTTAGTGTTGAGCACTAAAAATTTCAAATAAAATACTTTTTGCCAAGATGAAAGAAAACATTAACCAATTTTCTTGACAGGTAAAACTGATAAGAGTTTGACAAAACTACAATTTTTATTAGCTTAGAGGTTAAAAGTTTCTTTTTTCAGACATCTTAGGTTTAAGATGTCTAGTTCATCTGTGAGCAACTGTGTAAGTCATAAAATAGCTCATATTTTAAGAAAGAAAATGTTCATCTGCCATAATATTTACATGACATGACATAATGGATTGAAACCATACAGTGCTTCATAAGAGATAAACTTTGCCTGAGCCAGACATTTGTATATATCATCTTTCAGTGATTGTTAGGATTAGGATAATGTTACTACATTGTTTGATTTAATGTGCTTGCTGTCTAAGGTGGAACTTGAAAGAAAGCTGGAATCTGCCACAAAATCTAAGCTTCACTACAAGCAACAGTGGGGACGAGCCTTAAAAGAACTTGCCAGACTCAAGCAGGTATGTCTTGCAAATGTAAACAAAACATTGTCTTTTTTTTTTCTTTTTAGCAGATTCGAACATGACACCAAAACTAAAAAATATATTCAAAAGGAAAGCACACCTACTAATAAAGATTTTGTTAACCGCGACTCCGGACCAAATAGCATGGGTTGGCATTTCTTTAGTTTAGATGGGTTTTTAGTTTTTATCACAGAGGCCTTTCTCAGAACTTCTTCCAGAATCTCCTTTGCCCTTAATTTATTAGCTGTGTTTCTAAACTGTTTGTGCTTAATAGCATCGAGTTTGTGACTACGGTTAGCAATTTGTCACTCTAAATCCTACTGGAGGGCTGACAAAAACATTTCTGTAGACGCTAAAAGCTCTATCAGGGATTGTTAATAACTGTTAAAGACAAACCCCAGCTGGAAAATCTTGATTTTTTTTTTACTTAAGTGCTGGGGAAATGTTAAAAAATGCAACTTAATTTATTGGTTACACTGAAGTGTTCATAACTATAGGTGAAACAGTGCTATAAATCAAATGCATTATATAAAGCATTAGCCACAAGATTAACCATTTTAGGCGCTGCCTTTTGAACTCAAGGAGTTCCCCTTCTTCAGCCTTAGGAGAGAAGTGCTGGAGATAAAGCAGCGAGTTATCGGGTGCTTTCATTCCATATATAGTAGAGTCTTGTGCACAGGAGCCTAAAATGTCACATTCTGTATACATTGATTTCTATTATGTTTTTTTATCTTAGTATTTTTACCAATTACAGGAGTAAAAAAAAAATACAATTCTGGCACCTGACCTACAGGTTCATTTTTCCATCTGTAATTGAAGTGATTTAGCATCTTAGTAGTCTTATGTTGTTATTTCAAATAGAATTAAAATTAATTATCTTAATTCATGTTCGTTACATTTTGAATTATACATTTGTTACATGCTTAAGAACCTCAGAGTTTTTTAGATCTGTTTTTTTATCCTCAATAATGCAGTAGCTTCTTTCTACATTGTCCCATTTTTCTCTTATACATTCTACTCTCTGAAAATCTGGTGATACTCCTGTTTAAAATTACTTTACTGAAGAATTCACGTTTTTTTTTTAAACGCTGGTCACATCCCAATGTCATTTTGCAGAGCTTTTATAGTGTAGCCAGTTCAACATGTGAGGTACTTCCTGCTAGTCGTTTTCTCCATTTCAGTCCTTAAAGGTCTTTTCAAAGGCTAGCATGTCAAATTGCAATCTACACTGAAACAGCAAAACAAAAAATAGTGCAAGTAAGATATGAATTAGCAGAGAAATACAGATGATATGAATTACTCAGTGGGCCTCTGTGGCAAGTTCCTACAACATGAGTTTCTTCTTAAAATTGCCCTTTGGTTGTTTTTAAGAAATGTAGAACATCCAATGCAAAATACCTCACTTTAAAAGAAATGTAATGAGACCTTTAGTTTAATTTTGGGGGGGGGGGCGTAATTAATCTTGTTCAAGTCTTATAAGGAAATTGTTCCGCATAATTCATACTAAATCTTTGAAGAAGCCCAATAAAGCCAGGTCCTTCTGACAGTACAGACATTCCTAACCAACAAGGTTCTTATCTTGTCTTGTAGTTTGTAACCCAATAGATACATTAAAATGATCATTTTGTTGTTGGTTTGGTCAGCCACATTTTTCTATCTTTTTTAAAAGCTTGGTATTTCAGCTTTGGGTATAAAGTGTTATTTGAAATCATCCAGGCCCCCATCTTGACTTGTCAGACCTTAGTTATTTTCAGAAAACTGCCATTGAGTTCAGTCTCTGCTGCTTCCCACAGTCTAGTCACCCCTCAGTAGGAGTGGGAGACTGTGTGGTGGCCAGTATTTGGCCTCTGTTTAATCCAGTGTGTTCATGTTTACAACTTTTCCCTAGATTTATAGACTGTAGCCACCAACAGAAGATACTTGTTTGCTAAGCAGAGTGCCCTTTTCATTTCTTCACCTGTGGCTTTAATATTTACTTTAATCCATTTAAAGCCATTAAGCGCATTCCTCTGCAAAAGGAAAAAAACATTCTTCAAACAACACATGCTATATTCAATCATTTGTTGACTAAAGCTGTTTGAAGAGGCTTGTCTCTGAAGGTGCTCCACATTAACTGTTGCCAAACCATGAAAACAGTTCTTCAGAGATGTTTAAAAAGAAATACAAAGCTAATTCAAAAAAGCCCCAAAAATGTATTTCTGTGAATGTTTTACTCCAGCAAATGTTTACACTAACAGTTAAATGCTTCATGTGGTTTGTTTTCCTGACTATTATAGTTAAACAAATGCAATCCACATTAAGTGTAATTTATTGCTAATTCAAACCCCCCAGCGTTGCAGTACATTGCATTTCTAAGTATGCTTTATTCTTGGTTATTAGAATCAAGCCCCTGAGAGACAACATTGATGGAATCATGCCAGCACCGTGGCACCAGGCCCTGTTCTCCTAGCCATTTGCTTTGTGCTTGTGGAGTGAGTCTTACTTTCCTCTTGTGTCCCAGAGAGAACAGGAGAACGCCATGGCTCGACTGAAGAAGCAGCAGCAGGAGCTTGAGCACATGCGACTGCGGTACCTGGCAGCAGAGGAAAAGGAAGTTGTCAAAACGGAGAAACAGGAGCTGGAAGAGATCAGAAACGAACTTAACAGGTAAAAACCAACCAGCGATCAGAAGCAGTTTCAGATAGAGGCGTAGAGCTTTTTTATGTGAAAGTGTCTTCCATCAGCTCTGAAAATACTTCCTGCTTAATGAGAACTTTCAGCAGCCAAATCCTTCAACTGGAGTTCGGGATTAATACTGCAGTCTAGATCTCTTGAAGATTCATCTTATGTCAACAGCCAATTGTGAATACAAGTGCTGGAGATAGAGATGACCATTCCACAGCAAAATCTCTTGATTCCAGGGAACCTTAAAGTCATGGAGTGTTTTAAAAAGGAATGTCTGATACAAAAGCAAGGCTGTTCCTGTGGCCCTAGGTCACAGCATAAAAAGAAGCCAGGAGGCTCTCTGTGAGAGATCTCTGGGGGAAGGGACTGAGGCTCTGGAGAAATTGTGCAATGACAGGTTTTATTTATTGTAGTTTTGCAGTATGGTGCTCAGATAAAGCTTTAAATATGATTAATTTGCTATATATCTTTATAAAGACAGCGCAGTTTCTGTTGCCCAGAAACCGCCCAGTCTAAATGACTTAACTGACCTACATGTGGGACTTAATAGTGAAATATGGACAAATGACTAGTGTTTAGATAAAATTAAGAGGAACCTATAGTATCAGTGAAAAAGAAGAGAAACTAGCCTAGCCAGTACCAGTGCACTTACTGAAATTGTTAATGAAAAGATGACTACTGACTCAACAGGCAAAGCTTAACTTTGAGATCAGAGACAAATCAGAATTTGTATTAAGATTACATAAGTATGTGGAGAAAAGTGCTTCAAATTGGGATTTATTTGGATTTTCTTGGATTGGTGCTAGTGAATACCCTCAGCAGTGTGTGGCATGTGGTAAAGTCTTCTGGAAAAAAGGACATAAACCATATCTTCTATGCAATTACTTTGAAGCAAAACGTGAATAGAACAAAGACGAACTGTTGAATTTTGTAAGTGGACACTGGTACAATAAATGGCAAGCAATATATTTTTCTGCACTGCAGTTGCAAATGACAATATCGGGGCTACTGAAGCATAATACTTGAATTACAGAGAAATGAATATTAACCTGTCACTGGATTCAAAACACTATGCTTGGAGATAGAGCTAAAAAAATATTTATTTTGATTTACCGCCTAGACAAGAGTGTTGTATCAAATCTATGGCAGCTAATTAATGAACGAAGTCATTAGCAGCCTGTACTTTGCTCTGTATCTAGATGAATCCACAAATCTGGAAGGCTTAGCTTTATGTCGAGGTGCACGTGTAATTCATTTACGAAGGGGCAGTATTGGAGGCTATTCTGTTTTGCAAGCTTCTTCCTTAACCAAAAAGCTGAGGAAAAGTCTAGTTGTTTTATAGTTTCATCAGCCAGCATGATATTATCTTGTCAAAATGTATTGGCATCTACACTGGGAGAGGCACGTCAGTGACTAGTAGACAAAAGTGGAGTAGTGATGTATAACAGAGTACTCGCTCCTAACTTTTAGCTATAACTTATCACTGCATCAAAATCAAGCTACATTATTGTTTGTGTTTAGGAAATAACCTGCAGCTCTAACGGCCTTCTATTTTTTCCACAAATTCCTGCTCTTTTATACACCAGTTCTCGAACAAACCACCCCATCCATCACATGCATGGTATCCAGTGGTATTAGGCCATTTGTTAAGTTGGTCAGAAGTAAGAATTTATTAATTGTAGGACTTTTATTCTTATTTACAATTTACAATGTATATTTGTATAACATATTTACAATTTGTTATATATTTATAACAAATATTCATAATTAATTTGTATAACATATTTACAATTAAACAAGTTGTTTCAGGCAAAGGAGCTCTTAAAGCCTGCTTTATTCAGTGGTTATGGAAATTAGCACTATGTGATAAAAACATACAATAAAAGGTATGAGTGTCTTTTTTCTCCTTCTCAAAAATACAAAGGAAGATTGTTGTTCCAGGCGTATTCAGACAAAAACAACTGAATTACTTCAGGGTATCATGTCATTACACCATGGGTACACTTCCAACCCAGGTTGTGGTTCAGCTTGAGCTTCCCTGTGCCTTTTAAAAGTATCTGTGGTAGTATTGTTCCTGGGTGGTAATCCCTCCCCCCTCTTTGCAGGTTAAAACAGCATGAAGACAAACGTCTGTCAAGGGAAACAGCAACCAGGACAACAGATGGACATCCTGTCCAGGGCTTGAGTGAAAGCATGGACGATTATCTGAGCAGACTGATAGAAGAGCGGGACACACTGCTAAGGACGGGGGTGTACACTCACGAGGATCGCATTATCAGCGAGCTGGACAGGCAGATTCGAGAAGCTTTGGCAAACAGGGGTAGCAACTGATGCAGGAAGGGCCATCTTATCTCCAACCTTATTCCAGTCTTCTGCTTCCCATCAATGCACCTAACGTGTCACGCGTTAACAAGTTATTTGAAAAGTGTGTACATATTTATACATGTATGTTTGAACGTGTACATTTTGTAGCATTTTAAGTGTAATTTATTATTCTGTATTAATGAAAGTCCTCTTTTAGTATTCCATTTTTTGTAAAAATATTTGACCCCATCACATCGATATGAGCGTAAAGTAAATATTGGCTAACACAGCAGTGGTGAAAATATTTTCTCCATGAAGATGATTATAACAGCTGTAAAAATATAGCTACATTGAAAAGTCCAACATGGAGTTTCTTAAAGTAAAGGCTGCATGTGATTGGGCTTTGTACAATGATTTACATTTATTGCCCTGTTTAAGTTATTTCTCATCTAGTGTTCTCTGCATTAGATTTAAATTGTAGTTCTGCTCTGCGATCAAGTGGATATGTGGTCTCTGTGACCAGTAGAGGGAGCTCTAATATTAAGAAAGGCTGTTCTTGGGGGGGAATAAGGTCAGAACTTTGTTTTTCACTTCAATTTGTCTTTTCACTTAAGTCTGTTGTGTTTGTGGAATACAACATTCTTAAAACTATTTTTATTAATTTAAAAGAGCAAAATAAATTCCATTTGTACAGAATAAAGTTTTGATCAAGCAAATTAAAAATATTTTAAATACCTCTTTGTTTAAATCAAAAATGATTGTGTAAGTTAAGAACAAACAAGATCTGCTTGTGAATAGCTGCGTTTGTAATTACAGTATTTCTCAGACTTCACTGATAGTATTGTCTTGGAAATGGTGCTTTGGAAGTTAATCTAGCATAGGAAATTTAGGTTTACTTAATGGTTTTTCAGTATTTAAGAATTAATGTGACAAACGTATGAAAAGGAGTATAGAATTTATCAGTAGTGTAGTTGGAAAAACTATTTCTGCTAAAAGGTCAATGTATTTGTGCAATCTAAAAGTATTTAAGATATTCTAAATTTAAAGCACTAATATTTTCACACAGCCACAGCAAATTTATAGAAACTTCTGAAAGTTGCCTTTCACTCTGTTTTAAAGGTGGCTTAACACCAAAGCAAAATGCTAAGTACCAAATCATCAAGGGGAAAGTGGGAGATTTGTCCAAAGGTCTTAAAATATTATCGACTTCAACCACCTCGACCTCTAGTGTCAGGGATAGTGAGATATCCTGGTTTTGACTGTGTTTTCCTTCATCAAGATATTTAAGGTTAAAATAATGGTTTGATCCAAGAAGTGTAATACAAATATATGAAATGTGGTTTGGGACCTTAACCAATTAGGCATAATCAAGATACAACATCTTTAAGACTACTGTTTGAAGCTGACCTCATGAATGTGGTGTCTGTGACAGAGCTCCATGGCACATAAAAAGAAGAGACATATTTGGCTGATAACTAAGTGACTCCCAAGTCAAGCGGGACCACATAAAGAAGCAAATTGAGTCAGTCTCACCAGTGTTATGATTAGCCTGGAAAGGAGAAACTCATGTTGGAAAAGAATCCCATCCTATTTGTGAAAAAATAGAAGTGGATTTTTTTATGTTGTGGGTCTTTCCTCTGGTCCTCGTTTCCTACTTAGAAACTAAGAAAAGCTTTTCAGGTTTACCAGACTAGTTTGACCAGAAACAATTGCCTTCTGTCAATAAGTTCAAATTTATTAACTTTGGTAATTCACATTACAATAAATCTTAATTGGTAATCAAAGTCTCTAGTGGTACTGTACTTGAAGACACTTTTGTGAAAGGCTTAATTACTGGCACATTTTCCTCTTTTGAAATAAAGGAACAATGTTAAAAGTGTGCAAGGCTATTGGTCAAATGCAGTATTGTACAACTTTTGTCATTTTGTGATAAAAGACATTGATAGAGGGGGCAGTTTAGTTTTTCAGTTTTGAACAGAAAAGTGTACAGGTGTTAATTCAAGTTTCCAATATTCTTAAAGATATTTAAAAAGTCAAATCAACTTTTTCAAGGTCAGCAGTAAACTATGAAAGGGTAGACATGGTTGAAACCATAGGGAAGTGCATTTAATATTCAGAAGAGTAGGCACTTCTTTATACAAAGAGGTGAGGAAGAATGGAACAACCTACCCAGCAATCTTGTTGAAGTCAATACCATGGCTTCTTTACAATAATATTTAGATGAGATCATTGCATCAATACCCTACTAGAAATTAAACAACCTAAATAAACTAGATGACCTGCCCTCGATTGTTCCAAATGAACTGCATTTTGTTGTATTAAAACTTACAACAGAAATAATAATCTAGATTTCATTCATTTAGACTTAGGAGGAGATTGTTCTCCTGGTGACAGAGGGTTCGGAATGTGTTACATATAAAAACATTTTTTTCTCCAGCTGCAGGCTTCTAGTCACCACGTCTGAAGAGACATATTGTAAGAGATTCTTCCAAGTGTCTGGACTGCTGGCAGGGATCAATACAATGTACTTGTGATCAAAAACACACACAAAAAAACATCTGTGACGTTTTGCTTTAGAGATTTAAAAAACTCAATTTTGCCAGTTAAAATATTTCTTTGAAAATCTAAGTAGGAAACAAAATATTAAAAGACTAATGATAAGAAAGAACAATATTATACTTTTTTTCTGAAGGGATAGAGGATAGAGAATATCATAATATCATTCCCACTTTTAAAAATTGTTTTACTTTGAAATACGGAGATACCACATTACTTCTCAACCTGTTTGTAGTAAGCTCTGAGGAGCACCACACATGCTTTGACCCATATCCTTCACCAGCCCTGTCTATCTGAGTTTGCCTCCAAGCAATGGAATTAGGATTCAGCCTGTTGGTCCATAGCCACAAGGGTGACGGCATAGTCATCATTTCTATTGCTCAGTTACAGAAATCATCCCTTGTAAATTTATCCTCCTGAGGTTACAGTAAAAACCAAAGCAAGCTTTCTTGACTTAAACACAAACCAGGGCACGATTTCAACATCCGATCTTAACACACCAGGCAAACCTCTGTCCAGGTAAGTGCCTAAGCATTCTTGTACAGTACTTGTTCAGTAATGTGTTCTTTTTTTTCCATTGTTTTCTCCAGGATTACGAATACACTTTATTGATGTACATGATGTGATGAAACACAGACCTGTACAGAATTTGGTACATGACTTTTTTTCAAATCCACTGCATCTGATCATGTTTGTGAGAGGTCTGTGTGGGTGGGGGGTGTACAATATAAGATGGTAATACTTTGGATTCCAAAGCTTCCTTTTTCCTTTTTAAAGTCATATTTTTGCTTTTCATGTTCCTTTTAATTCAGTCTGACCAACAAATGGATTTTATTTTGCACTAATTAAAGCAGGCTTATCAAAAACATACTTGAAAAAGTCCTGACTTTTTAAATTACTTCTCGGCATTGTCTGAACTCTGTTTTTCAGAAAGTTCTGTTGGAAACAGAAACATGCCACATTTCCTGCAGCTATGGAACAGATTTCCAAAGACAACATTTGCTCTTAAAGTCATCTTTCACATTGGTGGTGTTGAGTAACATGGAAATAAATCCCAAAAACATAAATACTTTAAAAGTTTGAGTGAAAACATTAAAAAAACCTTTTGTAGCAATGTGGTTCAAGAAACCCAATTATTTTGGAAGAATATGTCAAAACAACAAGAATACATAGTTGTTTAAAGAGCTTTTATGACACAATATGAAATATTATCTTGACATTGTTTTGGCTTATTATGATTTTTTCTTGGTCCTGTAACACCTTACATAGAGTAAGCAACTGCAAAATAAGTCAATCAAGATGGGTCATATCCTAGACTACTTGTGTGAAAGCAAAAATTTGAAATGTTGGATGTAGTTGGATTTTTAAAAAATGTTAAAGTCAAAATACTGTATTTGTCCATCTGTACTAACTACGCAAAACATTGAATATGCATGATATTAATGACCAGTATCATGAAACATGTATATGTCTATGGATGGAGTGGCATTAATAACTGCAATGCAAATGGCATTGGTTCCAGTATTCATCCAATAGGCCTTTAATGTTAATCACTGTATGTAAAATGTATGTCTCAAGGATACTAAGGGTTGTATCAATCAAAAATTAATCGCTCTCTTAATCACAAATTAAAAACCCTTTTGATGGTTTTCATTTAGGAAGAAGAAAGCCTCTAGTAAACACTAAAGGGCATCAAATTTTGTTTTATTGGTGAGGCATCGCTTCTGAGATTTTTTTTAATGTTTGCAATTCAATCAACATTCAGTCTGTTTAAATTCGTGGCTGCTTGGCAAACTATTGCTTCTTACAGATCCACCCAGGCTGGTGACTGGAGTATGTAGAAAGCTGGATGAAAGTTGTGTGTTAAAGGGGCTGAAATCCAGAGGAGGAAAAAGATGCCTGTCTAGTAGCAGCAAAAAAAGCAGTGATGGAGGTGCCTTTTTTAAAAATGTCAGCAGTAGGCTAGAGAAAAATAATGAAAGCCAGTGGATTGAGTCTTCACAAGGCTGGTGAAACGGCAGAGATGAAGGTGAGCATCCACTGAAACAGTGCTCTGAAGATATTGAGAAGAAAGCAGGCTGCTATGTCTTGGCTAGAGAAAGTGAGTAGTCGCTGTTTATCTCAATGTCGGAGGGCTGGTCAGCATTAAAAGCCATCTTAAATATAGCTTATGAGGCAATTGAGAAATTGATTAATTGCCCAATTGGAGGACTGTGGTTCTAATCAGGAGAGGCATCCTGCTCTTGTGTGCTTCGAGGTGGGCTGTGAACTTGTGCAAATAATTACGTTGCCCCCAGCAACAGCAAGGTGCAAGTCTGTCCCAACTCTTGTTTTCAAAAGAGATTGGAGAGTTTTTTTTTTCTCTTTGCATGAAATCAGTTTTCTTACAAACTTCTGTTCCTTACTTTTGATGATTCTGAAAGACCTCTGTCATTTAGTCTAGCCTTCACACAGGCCTTTCTAATATTTCTTTATGATACTTTTATTTATTTTTTTCAGATAAGGGTAATATCTTGTTTAATATATTGTTACAAATAGGGGGTTACGAAAATAGTGAATATCAGAAAAGTGGCTGAGCTGCTTAATCAATGAGTAAATTAAATAATCATAACCCCTAGCTTGTAAAGATTTTGCCAGGAATATACCTGAGTGGTTGGTAAATTAGAGGTACCTGAGGTCTTGGTTCTCTGGCACAGCTTTAGTGAAAAGATTAATAATTCAGGCACACTGGGTTAAACAAACTTTTATTAATTAAGGCAATACACAATAAGCTTCACACAACATAAACATACTACATACAAGTTACGCTATGGTCAAACGTTCTGACTATGCAGAAAAACCCTATGCTGCTACCAGATATTTAACTCTTGTATAACACCTACAAAGGCCAAAAGAAGAGAAAACTGCCTTCTTAACTAAGCAGAATACGACCTGTGGATAAATCTGTCTCTTTTTCTTGTCTCTTAGCCTGGGTGCTACAAAAAGAATGGGAACCGATCTCACTATTCTAAAACTGCATCCACTTAGGGGGAGAGACATTTTTTAACAGACGCATTCTTTGCACAGGAGATTAAAGTTCCTAACAACAGAATAGTGAGCTCTCTTAACAAGGTTCCAAATACTTAACTCCAATCTGGACTTTATGTATGATCAGGACAAGGAGCTCTCGTCTTCAGCCTTTCTCTCACTTGTCATCCCTGCAGTCTCTCTTCTCCTCCTGCCTTTCTCTCTTCTGTCTGCCTGTTTTATGCTCTGTTACTGGACTATCTATTGGCATTTAATAATTTTTCCAGAACTTAACTGAGGTAAATCAAGGTAAACTTTAAGAATGCTTTGATCACAGAATCTCTCACCTCTAGATCTCAGTAAACATCTCCTTGCTTTGAAGCTCCCAAGCTGTACAAGAATTGGAAATGGCGACACTAGCCAGGTGTTACCCATTGTATGTAGGTTGACACTTCAATAGTCACTTGCAATAGTTGTAACAATATGTTCTGTGATATTTCTCAATTATTGTTTTAGCTGTACTTCAAGATATACCAAGTGCTGGTGCCTATTTGATATAGCATTGGCTTTCTCGTAACTTTTATGTTGTCAAGAAACAGATTCTGCTTTAATTTGACACTTTTAAAAATATGCCACTTTTATTGTACAGTAAGGCCTTTTAATTAATTATTTTCTGCCCATCACGTAACCATTGCTTGTACATGACAGATGTTACAAAGGAAATAATTATATGAGTCCCATCTTCTGGTAAAATATGTCATTATAAGTACTGTACATAGTACTTTTATAAGTCCTTTTGTCCATGCTCAAAAACAGTTATTTTGGTGTAGATTTATTTAAAACCGCATACAATACATTATAATTTTAGAGTGTGGGGTTGTGTCAGTATGTGAGCATAGAAACAAACAGAGGTTAACACCCCTTTGAAAAGAAGAAAAATCTCAATTTTAGGTTTGTGGAGGACTGGGGAAAGCACTGATATGAGGCAAAGGGCTGGGGTAAGGAGGACAAAACAAAAACATGTTGGAGTTGGTACTCGCATGTGAAAATGGGACGGGACTAAAAGGAAGGGAAACCGGTCAATATGTAAATGAACGAAGAGGTTTAAACAGATCTCAGTCAATTTAAAGCCAGGAAAGTTTGAACCTATTTTAAGGATAGTTTTGGTGTCTTCTGGTGTCTTTCTGGAGAATTCTTTGAATCCCTGTAAGAACCTTGCAAT